GTTTGCCCTTACCTTTTTTGTTGTTTTGTTTTAACTGAGTTAAGCTATATTGTGTTTTGGGGCTGTTTAACCATCTTTTTTTGTAATAAATAATTTTTAACTTCCCCCGAACTACTCCAGACATTATTTATGTTGCTTCCCCAAGACCCCTAGACCTTGGGGGCGTAACAGTTGACATTTATTACTTATATTAATAAGCTAAAATGATAACTTGCAGATAACCATGCAACACTTTCTATGGTAAAGTCCAGATATAAACCGAGGTATAAGCTGCTAAACACACAGTGATATCTATGCTTAAACCTAAAAATAAAACAACTTTAAAACTAATCTGCAAACCATAATTTGGCAATGTCTGATATCTACTCTAGAAGTTAAGCTGTACATCACATAATGTCTGCGATAATTTCCACCTTGTTTACAAAGTTAAGCCTTTTTTTTTCTCAGCGTCTCCATGCTCCCCTTGCATTTTTGTGATTTGTTATCAATTTTTACACACCAGAAGAAGGCTACCACTTCTGGTCCCCTCAAATGACTAAGGTTGATCACCTTAGTCAGCTGTGATGGGACCTGCTGGCTGGTTTAGGTGTTTAAAATAGGCTGCTTTTAATGTATCACTGTTGCAGTGGATGTATTTTATTTTTAAATCCACAAATTAGATTATCATTTAGAAAAATTACAAATTATTTCAAATAGATTAAATACCGTAATCAGTTATATAACATGGTGCAGTCATTTTGGACATCTCTGATGTTGCTGCTACTTTCAAATATCCACTACTGTAAAGATGTCTATAGATGTAAACATTGGTTATTTATTCTCCAGTTGCACAGTTTTTAATAATATTTGATTGTTTATAATTTTCTCTTCACTAATATGTTACTCTTATACATTTTTTTTAAGGTCCATATTTATGTTTTCTATAATCATTTTGCTGCTGTAAACACCAGAATTTCCCCATTGTGGGACAATAAAGGGATTTTCTTTTCTATTCTATAATGTAATTTAAGTCTATTGTGTTTTCATTTACAACACCTAATGTTACTGTACTCTTACAGTAAATCATTTAAAATTGTTAAAGAGATTTAACAAATTTTATTCAAATTGATTTGAAGTAGCCTAATTTATTTGACTCTCATACAAAAGTAATGTTTTCTAAATAGACATAGTCTATTCAACATTCTTTAAACCCACTCCCAGTGTCGCCATCTAGGCTGGAGTCTACACAGTAATAAAGGGGGGGGGGGGGGGGTTAATTTTTTTATGGATTTTTCTTTTAATATTTTTTATGAATTTCGTGTTATTTTAATTAGATTACTTACAAAATATTTTGATTATTGATTTAATAGCTATTGTCAGTTTTCAAGTTCAAATCCAGGTGTTGCCAGAGAAAATGTGGCCCTTTTTGAAGACAAGTGGTAGAAAGCGACAAAACATTTGTTGTGTGCAAAGGACCTGGTCAATTTATGAGACAGCAGCAGGCTGAACACTAAATTACTAGGATGAACGCTCTGACAGTTTTTATCTATACATTTGGAGTATTCTTGCATATTTAATGGATGTCTTGCCCATTCTTTCTGTCGTTTCTGCTTTGTTTTCATCTTAATTCATTAATGGGAACATCAATTTGCTTTGACAAGGCATAGAAACCTACACTCAACTTCCAAACAAAAGTGAGTTATGTTTCAATAGTGTAAACATTGAGTAGAACTTCAAACACAAGAAAATCAGCTTAACATAAACATCTTTAGCATAGTAAAAGAGCATGAGCTATTCTTTAGCAGAAAAATTTGTAATTATGAATAATAGTATTCATTTTGATTTACACAGTACAGTTATATCATTTAAAAGTATGTTTTTGAAAAGACATTTTAGTAATTTTTTTAATTAACTAGTTTAATCAAAAATTCACAGGAAAATTTAAATAATTAAAGAAGTGTGCTGGATCTGTACTTCTTAATGAGACCTGGAGTAGGAGTGTGTGTATTTCATAAAGTTATCCCCAGAGTTTCAGGACTGTTGTTGCAGCTTTTAAATATGGCAGAAACTCCAGGGGTAATCAGTTAAGAAATCGTACAGAAGCGTTTTTTGTTGTTTTTAATTGAAGGCTTCTGCTGTTACCTTTTTTTAGGAGTCTCATCAAAAACCACAAGGGGGCAGCAAAGTCCTTCTAATCCACAATGATGATCTTTGCGCCACATAAGAGGCTGAAGCATGTGTTTTCAGGACCAAGGAGAGCAATGAAAAACATGTTTGGTGATGCTAATCGAACTCATGTGAAACTTAAAATGTTTAATGGAGCAAACTGATGGAAACAGGATATGATTTGTATTTCATTAGCATGTTTTATCAGTGTCCTATTACATTTAAGTCAGAGACATGGGATAACTACAGTCAGGTCCATAAATATTGGGACATCAACACAATTCTAATCTTTTTGGCTCTATACACCACCACAATGGATTTGAAATGAAACAAACAAGATGTGCTTTATCTGCAGACTTTCAGCTTTAATTTGAGGGTATTTACATCCAAATCAGATGAACGGTGTAGGAATTACAACAGTGTGTATATGTGCCTGCCACTTTTTAAGGGACCAAAAGTAATGGGACAATCTGCTGCTCAGCTGTTCCATGGCCAGGTGTGTGTTATTCCCTCATTATCCCATTTACAAGGAGCAGATAAAAGGTCCAGAGTTCATTTCAAGGCTGCTATTTGCATTTGGAATCTGTTGCTGTCAACTCTCAATATGAGACCTAAAGAGCTGTCGCTATCAGTGAAGCAAGCCATCATTAGGCTGAAAACAAAACAAACCCATCAGAGAGACAGCTAAAACATTAGGTGTGGCCAAATCAAGTGTTTGGAACATTCTGCCTCTGTCTGAGAAAAAAACAGTTTAGAAGACAATCTCTTAGACTGTTTTAATGTCAAACGGATGAAAGAGAGCACATAAAGTTGGCCACAGTAAGAGCTGAGCCCTTATCTATGTCTAGAAGAGAAGCGGGACTAAGTACTGAAAAATAGGCCTAACTCTATCATCTATAACGAAGGAGTTGATGGCAGTGGCCCAACTAATATTTATGTCCAGGATAGCCAAACAGGAACAGACCAAATGAAGCTACTATGACAAGAAAAGCAAAGACAAAATAAAATGAGGGGTTGAACTGACAAACACAATACAATGAGATAGACAGAATGATGTCCCTATGTGCTCCAGCAACTTAAGCCTATAGTAGCATAACTATAGAGATGGCTCACAATAACCTGAGCGGCTCTAACTATAAGCTTAATCAAAAGCAAAAGTTTTATGCCTAGCCTTAAAATTAGACAGGTTTTGTGCCTTACAGACTAAAACTGGTAGTTGGTTCCACAGGAGAGGATCCAGATTACTACTATATTTAAGTTTAGGCAATACATTCCATCATATATCTGCACAGATCTGTAATTTCTTATATAAACCTAGGAAATAATTGGTCATTGGCAGGCAGAAGATCAATCCCCAATGCCAGATAAATACCATCTTCTTTTGATAATTTTTCTGCTCATTTAATTGGAATATTATAGAAAGCTTTAATTATTTTAGTAGCTCAATTTAAATTTAGCCATATTATATAGGTTCATTAAACAGACACGTTTTCAAGCCTTTATCTCAGTTAATTACAAAGACTTTCCACTTGCAGCTTAAACACAACACTTAAGATAAAAAAAAGAATGTCAGAACAATACAAATATGTGCTTTGAATATAAGTTTTTTACAGAAAACTTTTAGATCTATAAGTCAATTTACATGCAGCATACATAACCTGCCCAACCTGTTAACTGTGTAGTTCCACCTTGTAAAAAATATACATTTGCTATGCAACATTTTTTTTCATCTGTTGTGTTTTAAAACACCAACTATAGTTACTGTACTCTTACACTGAATTATTCAAACTGGTGTAACAATTTTTATTCAAATTAGTTTGAAGTAATTTCTTTGACTCTCTCACAAAACCAATGTTTTCCAAATACATCTATTCTATAGAACATATTCTTAAAACCCACTCCCAGTGTCACCCTGGGCAACTGCCCATATTGCACTTATTAAGCACCACAACTGTGTGTATGCTCCACAACAAAAACTTGGCAAAGGAATTAGAAGAGCTCTTTGGTTATCGAACATCATGAGATGGTTATTGCACAAAACCTTGGTAATAATAGACTTATTATAGGGCGTCTTTTCTCTATGTGGTTTTTACTTGTAATTCGGTTGTCATTCCGCCTTTTTTTTCCGCAATTAATTTATAACTTAGGTCCATTTCTATGTAGAACGAGATTATCTGTGTAGTAACCAACACCTTGATGGATTTCTTGTCAGTTACCTTTTTTGAAATATATTTTCACTGGGAAAAAAATTATGTTGATCAATATTTTTCCCCTTGATGCTTAAACAAAAAAATCTACAGCATTTAAAACAGATAGGTTAAAATATAAAGCTATATATATCACTATCACATAACATAACATAACGCAAAACATAACGCAGGTTAACGAACATGGTTTGTCCTTTTTAAAGAGTATGTCTCATTTTTTTTAAAGCTTATCATAAAAATTACATAACATCTAATTAACACTGCATTTTATTTGAGTCCAGTGAATACTGGAATATTTGTGTCCTGCGTTTTACTCTAAATATAAAGAACATTTTTATACGTTTTATTTTTTTTTATCTAATGATCATCCACGGTCTCCAAATGCCTAACATATCCTGTGCTAAGATTAGTACGAAACTTTCATTAGAAACCAAAACTGCTCTGGGGGCAGGTCAGAAAATGTCAGTGTAAACCAGTTTAATTCTGCAGAATTTCTTATTTTATCTTTTTAATACAGCCACAGGCATCCTTAGTTTTTTTCCCCCCTGGTAAATGTGGTTTTAACATCCTGGTTAAAATCCTCTGACTGCTCCTAGATAGGGGCTATTTGTCAGAACAAAAAAAAAAAAAACTGTGTCAAATGTCCTTTTATAATGATGTATTTAGTTCTATTTATTTCTGTAAGTGCCTTATATAATAAAAGTCTAAAGGTTAAACCATTGTAGCTGCACAGACACAACTTTCCCACCAGTCAGTAAAAACAGTTCATTCAGAAATACTGTAAAAACTCTATTGATAGGGTATTTTAAGGTTTTAAAAAATAGATAATAAAGATTATTAGTACAATGTGAAAATATTACTTTTTTAATGTAGCTGTTCATTTTTGAGATCTGAAATGTATTTTGGGTAATAAATGCTGACAAACTCATTCTAAGCTGATTGCTGCAGACTGTGCAGGGTGAAGTTCACTGTAGAAAATAAAGAATGGAAACTTTAACATGTCAGGACTTTAAACCGAGTGAACGGAAAGCTAAAGAACAGAATGAATGATTCAGATGGCCAAATAAAAAAAAGTCCCCATTTCCTCAACAGATCCTGCTAGACAAAAATCCCATAACGTCATCCTTCACAATATTTCTGGTTTGCCAGCACATAATTTAGTAGAACAGTTCTTTTTTTTTGTGTCCTTCTTCAGGCGCCCCTCTTGTTTGAAGCACTGAGTATGACTGGAGGAGGCTGGATGTTCAGCTCCTGTCTGAGATCCTCCAATCTCTGCTCCCATCGCCTCTCATAAAAGATGCTGAGGACACAGCGGGCCCGCCTGCCGTTCTGCAGGGCCCAGGGACCCAAGGATGTGAAGAGTGATTGTAGACGACTGAAAAAGGGAGACAGAATAGTAATTAAAAGCAGCTCAGACAGCCCCTTTATCAATTCAAACAACACTAACGCTGATTGACAAAGACAGGAAATGACAGTTGATGAATGGGGAACATTTGAACAGAGAGATGGTTCAGTGATATTACTTCTTTACAGTTTTAGTGTTAACATTTTCTCATATATTTACATGTAGTTTTGACCTTTAGCCAAACCCCACACACAACCAACCAAAATGATGGAAATCTGAAACCTGTGGGAGGACAAAATATACTATAGGAAATGTAATAATCTCCCTTTTTTCTTAGTGGCGAATGCTGGGCGCCCACTCTCTACTGGCTGCAGGTCCATGAAAATAACAGAAAATATGTTCAACTGACATGTTTTCATTTTTTTCCGATGATTGTAGGTCGTACTTTTAAAAGCCACCCGGGGAAACTCCCTGCGTGTTCCAAAAACTGATGATCTAAAAAAAAAAACGATTAAAATGTATATCATTTATCAGGTTGTTCTTAACCGACGTTGATTGTTACTGTGATCCACATTCTTCCTCATGCTATCACACATAAATCCCAGTTAGCATATTTTAGCAAATATTTGTATAAGTTAATTCTACAGCTCCCATCCTTCCTAATGATATTTTACTGCCAATATAGATTCAGACTCAAGTTTTATGTTTAGGTTTTAAAAACAAGTCAATATCATTACTTATATCCGTTTTTGCTTATAATAGTTACATGTTTGACTGACTGGTCGCCTGTCATGCATGGCCTGGAAAAAAGTGTTAATAATCCTTCTTCAATGAACTAACATTAACTGGACATGACCTTGAAGGCACCATTATTAGGGGTGAACAGGGTAGGGGCTGCACCATGATGTGGGGATTTCCCTAACTGGTAACAGTAAACTAATTAGGAGATGGGAAGGTGTGGAAATTGAGGGAAGAATGCATGTCTGAATGTATAGAATTCAATTCAGCGAATGCATGCAGTCAGAAGGCAAAAGTTTAAATCTAAGCAATGCAGCGTTAGAATGGCCCAGTCAAAGCCCAGATCTCAATTAAAGAGGACATTTATGGGAAGTCTTGAAAACAAATAAAGTTTGTGCTATTTTACAAAGTCGAATTGAAGAGATGTCAGTCTTTAGGTGTTTAAAGCTAAAAGAGACATTTCCCAAAGATTTGGTAGATTTACAAATTAAGAACTGACTGGAATTTTAATTTTTACATATATTGAATTAATATAGATTGAAATCTTTGGTTGTTTCATAATAAATGTGAAGAAGTCAAGAGATTTTGATACTTCTAAGGCAAAAGGTCGGTTTTCTCATTTATGCCAAACGTATTTTTTAACACTGGAGTACGAAAGCATGATCTCCTACAAGCTGGGCTGGCCTGAAAGTTACACTACATTTATAAAAATAGTCATTTTATATACAACAGTTTCAAACAACAAAATAATCTCAGAGCCGGTTATATTTAAGCACCTTGCATTCAACCGAAGAGGTCCCAGCAAAGCTCCCAGGACACACATGGGGAGCCCAGTCTGAGCAGCTTCAAACCATTTCACCGCCACCTCACCTGGAACCAGGAGGAAGAGATGGAAAAATAAAAAAAAGAGAGAATTAAAAGACAGTTAAGAGTAAACATTGGTTAAAACCAGCCTAAAGTATAAAAAGGTAAACAAAAGTCTCTGCTTTGGATATGAACATTAATTCTCATGAAGGTCATGTCGATTTTTAGTCAATGATCTGTTTCACAGAAAACTAGAACTTTGAATGACCATTTTTAAAGAAATATTCAGTTTAATAACTAAAGAAAACGCAGAACTGGCCTGTGGCCCAGTTACCAATCTGCAGTAATTAAACAAAAGCTGGATACATCATCAACATTGATGAGTGAAAATTTAAGCAGTGCACAGATAAGTTTCAGACGCTGCTGTGAGATATATTTCTATATCCAGCATGACTCACCCAGCATGTTGGTAGGCATGCCCAGTAAAGTGTGCAACAAGTCATGGACCTCTCTGTATCTCAGCATGATGTAAGCTAGCTCCTCGTTGTCCACAAACTTCACCTCCGCTCTAGAGTCAGGGGTCACTTTCTGTCGCAGTTGCAAAAGCAAAAGGACATCATGTCCCATCAAAAATGGAGCAAAGAGGCAACAGGCTTTGATCGGTAAAAGAGTCTAAATTTAAAGATGTTAAGTAATTAGGTATTTTTTTAATCGAGTAAAAACGTACATTATCCTCCAGGAATCTGAGATACTCTCGGCCAAACGTCCCATCGGGTAGGGTGGCCATCTTTTCCAGATCGAGGGTGGACAGACGGATCCTCGGCCTCTCTCTGCAGCACCGTTTCGTTACAAAGAAAAAACAAGTTAAATGGATATATAAAGTAAATAGTATTCCTATAATAAGGAAATGCTGGTCATTTAATCTTATTCTCTGTCTTTTTATTGTATAAAATAAAAGTCTGATAAAGGATCTTTGTACTATACCTGCCTTGACTATGTTTAACAGTTAAAAAGTTCAAATTATTTTTAACAACACATTTATAATTTATGCAAAATAGATGTGCTTAAGGGATATAGTCATTTATCATCTGCTACATTTCCATCTGTTTCTACAGGTCCTTCTCAAAATATTAGCATATTGTGATAACGTTCATTATTTTCCATAATGTAATGATAAAAATTCAACATTCATATATTTTAGATTCATTACACACTTTGCATATCATTAAAAAGGTCACTAAATGAGCTATGCACCTAATCATCTCAATCAACAAATTAACTCTAAACACCTGCAAAAGATTCCTGAGGACTTTAAAACTCCCAGCTTGGTTCATCACATAAAACCCCAATCATGGGTAAGACTGACAACCTGACTGCTGTCCAGAAGGCCATCATTGACACCCTCAAGCAAGAGGGTTTGACACAGAAAGATGTTTCTGAACGAATAGGCTGTTCCTAGAGTGTTGTATCAAGGCACCTCAGTGGGAAGTCTGTGGGAAGGAAAAAGTGTGGCAGAAAACGCTGCACAACGAGAAGAGGTGACCGAACCCTGAGGAAGATTGTGGAGAAGGGCCGATTCAAGACCTTTGGGTACCTGCGGAAGCAGTGGACTGAGTCTGGAGTAGAAACATCCAGAGCCGCCGCGCACAGTCGTGTGCAGGAAATGGGCTACAGGTGCCGCATTCCCCAGGTCAAGCCACTTTTGAACCAGAAACAGCGGCAGAGGTGCCTGACGGGGGCTACAGAGAAGCAGCACTGGACTGTTGCTCAGTTTTGCATGTCATTTGGAAATCAAGGTGCCAGAGTCTGGAGGAAGACTGGGGAGAAGGAAATGCCAGAAGTCCAGTGTCAAGTACCCACAGTCAGTGATGGTCTGGGGTGCCATGTCAGCTGCTGGTGTTGGTCCACTGTGATTTATCAAGGGCAGGGTCAATTCAGCTAGCTATCAGGAGATTTTGGAGCACTTCATGCTTGCATCTGCTGAAAGGCTTTATGGAGATGAAGATTTCATTTTTCAGCACGACCAGGCACCTGCTCACAGTGCCAAAACCACTGGTAAATGGTTTGCTGACCATGGTATCACTGTGCTAAATTGGCCTGCCAACTCTCCTGATCTGAACCCCATAGAGAATCTGTGGAATATTAAAAGTTGAGAGATGCGAGACCCAACACTGTGGATGAGCTAAAGGCTGCTATCGAAGCATCCTGGGCCTCCATAACACCTCAGCAGTTCCACAGGCTGATTGCCTCCATGCCACACCGCATTAAAGCAGTCATTTCTGCAAAAGGAATCCCCACCAAGTATTGAGTGCATAACTGTACATAATTATTTGAAGGTTGAGGTTTTTTGTATTAAGAACACTTTCCTTTTATTTGGTCGGATGAAATTTGCTAATTGTGTAAGATAGGAATTTGGTTTTCATGAGCTGGATGTCAGAATCATCCGTATTAAGACAATAAAAGAACTGAAATATTTCAGTTAGTCTTATCATTACATTATGGAAAACAATGAACTTTATCACAATATGCTAATATTTTTAGAAGGACCTGTAGTTGGGTCGGAATCACAATCGCCCTTTAAAGAGTAACGATTAAGTCTCTGGTTAAGAAACAGGAGAAGAAAATGGACCAAAATGGGGGTTTGAACTGGCAGAATGGTAAAGTGACCAGAGCAATAATATATAGGGTAAATAGTTCCCAGTCTAACCAAGTGTAACTCACGTCAGGATGGTGTAACCCTCAGGGTCATTTTTCATCCGGTCCCTGAGGTTTATAAGCGCTAAATGTCCTGTAGTCTCTCCCAGCACAGCAACCATGTCTGTGAAGTTTAGCCCAGAGGTCAGATTTTAATATCAGTTTTAATTGAATAATAGAAACACATTTTTAGTCATAATACCACCCAAGCAGCTTAATGACCGTACAACAGCTCAGCTATTCTTCTTCTGTGCCTTTTAGGTATTTTCTGTTAAACCTGAGAAGTTGCCACAAAGCATGATGCCATCTGGGACATTTGAGCTTTTTTTAAACCCAGAAGGAAACAATGAACAAAGACCCCAGAGATATGGATACTGGAAGCCAGAGACAGCTCTTATACAGAAACCTGTGGGCAAATCCTGAGATTAAATGTCAGCTAACAGGTGTCCCGAAACGCTCCACCCCTGTGAACATTTGACCACTTTGAATCCGTTTCTATTCCCGCAAACACGTCTACATGGCTTTAATTAGAAGCATGCTTCGAAAATGAGAAACTGAAGTGCAATTTCAGAGAGATAGGTGGTTTCATAGATGAAGAAAATAGGAAGTGAAATTTATTTACCATCAAACTCATTGAATGACCAAAGACTAAGCAGCGGAAATAAATCATAAGGGAAAAAAAATGTACTGTAAAACCAGCATTGCCAGTAATAGATTTCACATGTTGGAGTTTTTAATAACTGTTTAGCTAATATGTGAGGGTTTTTAAATAGAAAAAGAAGAAGAAAAAGAACAGCCTTTTCAAATGTTTTATTGGATTTAGAAAAAAAAGACACATAAGAACAAAAAAAGTCTATTTGGGGGGAAGAGTTTTAGTTTAAAAAATATTTTATGGACTCAGACTAAATTAGGGATGCAAAGTTTATTTCTAGTAGAAAGAGGAAAAAGGGGGAAATAAACTTTGAATCAATTTAACTGTATGATCTGGTGAACTGTAAAGTGACTTGGGATGACATTTGTTGTGAATTGGCGCTATATATAAATATAAACTGAATGTTTCACACTTGGAGTCAATAACTTTTCCACTTAATGTTGATCAACTGCAGGTGATTTAACTTGGCTGCAATCCAATTTATTTTTATTTTTTTTCAAAGGCTGTAAAACATTTAGCTTCATCCATGAGATCAGGGTCCCTGTCCCTGGTGGAGAAAATAAAGATTACCTTTTTATTTTAGAGAGACATTGCACAACATGAGATTGAACTTTTCAAATAAAAATGTATTGTTATTTATTGGTTAAAGCAACAAAAAAAAAAAAAAACACCTAAATAAAAGGTTATGGTTAATTAAATTAATTCTGAACTGATGGTACACTATAAAATCTTTTTCATCTCAGTGTTATATTAATAAAACAAGTGAAAACATAACCCTTCAAACAATTAGAAAAAACACTGTTTCATTTTCATACATTCATCACTTACAGGTCAAGTCTTCTATAGATACATTTTCCAGCCGTCCAAGCATTTAATCATGGTCTCATTTAGCAAGCTTTTCTAGTGAGTTTTGGCACGACGAGAGAAAGCCATTTTATCAGGTGAAGTTCTACTTATTGGGATGCTGTGCTCATCTCTAGAAGTTAATCTGGTGGTTCTACTGATTGTATCTGATCTTACTGTGCAAAAATATGAAGAATTTTAAATATTTGAATCGACTATCCATTTTTTAAAAATAAAAATCAGATTTTTTTTAAAAATATGAAAGAGACTGTCTGGATTTCTAGTTGTGAATCTTTAGGAAATTTTTCTTTTATCAGGAAGTTCGAGTGTCATATGCAGTATTGTAGCTGCACTTCTAGACTGAGATCTCAGAGCTCCTCTCCCTGGTTGAGGGTCATTACTGCTAGTGTTCCAGTTACCACAGAGACCACTGTTGGCTCTTCTCTAAGCCCTCGGTATTTCTAGAGCCTCCTATGTTCCTCCTAATGTTGCGGTCACTTTGTAACTCTGCTGGTCCATCACTACTTTGTTAGTTGGGTTGGCCATCACCAGTCTATCTGTCTGTATCTAGAAGTCCTGCAGTCAACCACCAGTGGGGCTGTATCACACCAAGGTAGCTTCATTAACTGATGTTTTTAAATGTTGCAACTGTTTAATATGCTCCAGAATTCAATTTAATTCAAAAATACTTTATTAATCCCAAAGTGAAATTAAATCTTGCGACCATTCAGCTGCAGCTACAATTCCAAATTGTTCCAATGAGTGAAAAGGACAGTTTCATCTGCATAAATGATAACATAAGTACCACACACCAAAGCGAGATCCTTGATCTATAGAAGAAAGAGCAGAGGCCCTATAATCAAGCCCTGCAGAACTCCAATGATGCATTCTTTCAATTGGAACAGTGTTTTTTTTATACTCTGACACACTATTTTCTGCCATTTAGATAGAAATTTGTTTGCAAATTTCCACAAGATTGTGACTGTCAGTATCCAAAGCCTTTTACTAACAGATAATAGAAAGTGAACGGAGTTAGAGGCAACTGAGCCAGCCTTTGAATAAAGGTAAAATCTTCAGTAAATAACCTTATGTTATTTTCTGTAACATTTTCTTTTCCAAAACATTGCACGTTTTTTTTACTTCTTACCTTTCAAAGTAACATCTGAAATTTTATGGTCCAGCTTCTAAAGATTTCAAAATTCAAATTTGAACCTGTTTTCATGATTTTTCTTTAGTCCTACCTCTTCATTTGTTTTCCTAGAGATGGCTATTAAACCAGCTCTAGGAAATTACTTTTTAAAATCTTTATAATCTTCAATAAAATATTTTGCAAGGCTGTTGTTAGATCACTGCTTGATAGCTCACATAATTTATTCTTTGTAATGTTATTCCAAATTCTTTTTCTAACTTAGTTTTGCAATAAAGATAAATCCTTCTTTTAAATAAAAGAGACATTTAGAGGATTATTTAGTTGTTTCTGATCCCTTTATTCGGCTTTATTCAACTTTTTAGCAACTAATGTAAAATTATGATCAAATAAACTGGTACTAAGTTATTTCATTAAAGTTTATTTTTAATGATTAGTCTATGAATATTGGGGAAGATTTTTTTTGTAAAAATACCTGCAGCATTGTAGAAAAAGGTACGTGTATTATATTACATTAAACAAGCCCCTTATCACATTAGATATGTCAGAAAGCAGAAAGAAAATAAGAAAGCATAACAGATGATGAACTTTTACAATAAATTTCCCACCGTGTCTGTAGGGGTCATGGAGAGCCGCCACACCTGATCCAACGGCCAATAGCGCTTTCTGGAAGGCGGTGGTCTGGATGTGTCCGGGGTACAGTCCATCACAATAACTGTGCGTAAATTCAGCACCACTAGTGTGCAGTTGGTGGATGCACAAAGCTGAACCATAGGGGGGAAAATGTTTAAAAATTAACTGAGAAAAATTATATTTCCCTCTGCTCTGACATGTAAAATGTCAACTTTTATCAAATGATCATTCTCCTTTGTTTTTTTTATTAGGTTGCTGCACAAAAGCAATTTTACCCTTCTGATATGTTCAAATATAACAGCCTATAAAAATGCTTTAAAGTACTGCTATAAAACTGTATGCTACTAAAATGAATACGGATGTGACAATTGCAATTTGTATAGTAAACTTATCTATATAAATATGTTAATATGGGATCATTAAGCGTGCAACTAATATAATGAAGGCAAAATTCATTTTCAATATAATTAATTCAATCTAAAATTTAGAAGTTGTACATATTTATATTTAATTGGGAATAGGCAACAATTATTCTGTTTCTAAATTTGCTGATACATTTTTTTTAATTATATATATATATATTAATAATAATATTATTAATATATAAATGCTATATTATATGAATTACATATATTTATATATTATTGTTATATATATTTATAAATCCTACATGTGCTATTATTTTTTTAATCTCCAAGCAGTTCAGTCAATTTAAAACTATATTTATTACAATTACATAAATGAGAGTAAAAAATGATTTTGCATAAATTAGTCATTTTTTTTTTTTACTACTTACCAAATAATTTTACAGCTAGTTTTGGGGTCTGAAAAACAAATTATTTCTAAATGCTCCTCGCATTGGCATGATTAGGTGAAACCCTCTATTTGAAAAAACCTTTATTTTATTTGTTAAACTTTATTTTTTATTCAAACACACCAAAACAAACACAGATTCAATGTCAAAACAGTCATAGGTCCTAATGAACTGCTGAACCGGATGCTAACTGTCATGTTATGTAGCGTTCATTTTTACCTGCTACAAGCAAGCGGCTAGGCTATTACGCAGTTTAAAAAGCAAGCTAAATCTAATTTAATTGCTAGCTTATGCTAGTGGGTTTTCATAAATAAGGAGAGATAAGAAGTATTACTTCGTACCTTTTAAACCTTTACAGGTTAAAGAACGGTGCCTCTGATTTAACCGAATGAACGGATTTAACAAGCGCTGGAGCATTGTTAGCAACAGATATTGCGCATGCGTAGACGTTACCTTCTGTCGTCTGGCAACGGATCCACTCCCCCTGCTGATTCTTTTATGATATACAGAAACAAGATGATTCAGAAGATTCGGTTCCCGGAATTCTCTTCCACCACAGTCTTTCAGACTGGCTCAAACTACAAACGGAAGTTAGTTTTTTAAATATTTAAACTACACTTGACTACTGAGCTGGGTGACTTCGTTCCTGGTGTTGGGATAGTTTCGTTTTCTTTTCACCCTGACGGTCAAGACTCTTAAGGTTAGTTGGTTTAATTTAGCATACGTTTGCCCCTACTCGAGTAAGTTAGCATTTAGCAAACTAAGAAATTAACTGTAGTTCAAGTCTACTTAATATAGCTCAAAGCTTTAATACACGAAGGGGCCTGTTATTGTTATTTATATCAAAATTAAGTGCTAGAAACCAGCAAAGCTTCCCTTTAAACCAACAGAAAAAAAGCGAATACTGACAAAACTTAAGAGATCCGATTAATGTTTGCATATCAGCTTAGGAGTTCAGGGGATAAACGTTCATAACTAAACTGGGAGTGGCCAAAAAAAAAAACGACTGATAAAATGAGGCACAGTTTACGTTTGTTGAGTAGAGTTACTGTTCAGTTTCCTTGGTACTAAGATCGTTGTCATTACAGAGGTAGGACCAATTATTGAGCAATATCCGAGCAGAGATAGTTGGATCATTCAGCTAATGTCAGGGTGCTGAGCAGCAGCTTTGCTTTTTAATTTTTAAATCTAGAAAAGAAGCTGAAGTGATCTGTGTGTTTAGATTTGCAGCTTTTCTTTCCTGTTTTTCTATTTTATTACATTGCTGTTATATTTCATGCTTTTTGGAGCACTTTGTGGTGAACTGAGTTTGTTTTTTGTATGCTTTTTCTTAAAAGTACTTTATTGTTGTCAAATTTTCCTGGAGAACAAAAGCAAACACTAAAAGCCTGGCTGCTGTCATGATTGCTGTCCACAAATATGTATCAAAGGCTGTATTTATTGTGCATATCTTTTAGTGAATGAATTACAGGACTTCTCCCATATATGTACAACATAAAATATATTTGATCCAGGATTACTCTCAGGGATTTTATAAATTTAGTTTTAAGATGACATGAATTACTTGACTTCAAACTGCAACTTAACACAAGTTGTGTAACAGGTTTGTAAAGCAGGTTGACAGGCTCTGACATTATTGACAGTGAAAATATTATACAAAATGTTTTCAGCCAGTGGTATTACCCAATAGGCTGGTTTTGTTTTTTTGCGTTTTATTTATTTTTTTAAGTTCAACTGGCTTTGTTGATTTAAATGAAATTTCAGAATTATGTCAAAGTTTTCATGATGGAGAAATATCTGCCGTTATTTCACCAGACACTTGAGTTCAGAGAATTTAACAGGAACTTCCAGGACAGCACCGCACTTCAAATCCTTCATGGGTTTTTGCTAAGAGCTGATAAGAAATAAACTGAGGCATGTAAATCCCCATCCTGTCACCATTCTATTTAGAATACTACTACTGGTACTAATTATGGTGACTAACTGCACTGACAGCCCTGCTACTAAAATGTCACAGATATCCAATAATGTTAGCAAACCTTATTTTCTCGAGGTAGACCGTTATTATTAGATGCCAATTAAATCTAATTTCTTTATTAATTGTAATGACTTAATTTTATGTAGATGAAGATGACTGAAACCCAGAAAAAAAAAATCACTTTCTCTTTTCTGTTTTCAGTGTTGACATAAAACTGCTACTTTTATATGATTATTTAATTTGTCTTCAGTGTGTGTTCTCCTCACTTCCTTGCATTTTTTTTATTCTTTTTCTGCTTCTTCGAAAGTTGCTGATTAAAATACCAGTTTCCAAAAAGGGAAAATGCAGGTTTTTATTTTCCTAATTCAGGGGTAGATAAGTGATCCAGATTTTCTTTCATGTCATTTTCCCCGACTTCAAATCATTCTCCTTTTCGTTCTGTTGTGGTGAAGGTATAGATGTGCGCTAGGCTGTGCATTAGAAGATAGCATCTATTGCTAATGGAAACCAAAAACACTCAACCCTTTTTTTCTAAAAGGGAATTTTAGAAACTAAAATAGGTAATTTATGAAGAAAACATGGCAGACTTTTCCAAAAACAGGCAATTTTTTTACATGCGAGACCAAGAATGTAGTTCCTGTGCAAAATAAGAAATGCCTCTCTCTGACTCTGGGGAATTCTTTAACACCTTATTATAGACCCTGAACATTAATGTCTGCAAAAATAGTTTATTTGTGGTGTTGCTAATCAGGTGGAAGGATGTGACAAAATTTCCATTTGGTTGCAGCGATGGAGGGAAAAGCTTTTTGTTCCTGTAATTTTGGGCTGGTCTGCCAGTTACTGTTGGCGGTATTTCCTCTATGTGAAAAACTCTCTTACCTTTGGTTTTCCTTGATTAATAAACACCAAATAAAGAGGTAGACTGAGTCATTTGTTTAGATGAATAAATGTAAACATAAATCCCCTAGATAAAACTGGGGATCACTTAATAAAAAGCATTAGGCTTCTACAGTTGTCTGCAATAAATTTGTTTTCCTTTAATGTTTGGGGGACTGATGTATTTGCTGCACCTTTTTTTTTTTTTTGAGTTTTTACGGCACTAGTGGCTTGTTTTTTTGACAGTAGGCTGACAGGAAAGGGGGTTATGAGAGAGTGGGAGGGACATGCGACGAAGGACAGATTCGAGCCCGGGTCGGCCGCTTCGAGGGCTAAGGCCTCCGTACGTGGGTCGTGCTTGCTAACCACTGCGCTACTTGCACGCCCTGCTGAACCTTTCTTACTTGATTATGCTTTAGTAGCAACCTGCACCATCTGGCATCTTTCGCTGTCTAACAAGAACCCCAAAATGCTCAAAGTAGTGCTCAGTAACAGTTCTCTTTTAAAATAAAGGCTGTAGAGTGTTTTGCCTCCTGCCAAGTGAATGTGAGTGGATCTTACTTTGTCCACTAGATGGCAGTAAATAGAAAATGCAGATCACTTTAAACATAAATGCTAAATGTACTCTGCATAGGCTAAAAAGAATCAGATTTAAGATTTAAAGGACCCAATAAATCTTTGCAAGATGTGAACTTGTGAGAAATATCTGATCATGTGTCAATATTAAAAATACAATTTTTATTGTCGTCACTCGATTAAAAAGCATAAAACGCATTTCTGGTAAATCTCTCCAAACTGCAGTTCCATGAATAAATAAAAATATTTTTGTATTTCGCCCCTATCACTGTGACAATCGCAAGAGTCTGCACAATTAATGCAAGTAAAACCCCAAGTAATATTACAAAGTTATTTGTTAAATTCTCTCAGTAGGCGATTGTGTTAACATCTAATGCAAAAAAAAAAAACAACAACAACAAAAAACTCTTCATAACAGGAAGTTGGCACAGATAGCTTTTATATAACCTTTCCTTTATATGAATGCATCCTTCTAGAGAAACCAGTAACATTTCTTAATTCAACAAGTGCAGAATAATATGCCTTCAGAGCTGGTCTTGATTCTTTCTTGTGGCCACCCTTCTTTTCAGAGAAAACTAATTTAATTTACATGTTAAAACATTTGGGCTTTGATTCTAACAGTAAAAGATAGCGTGCATTTCTATGTAACTTGCACATGCTTCACCGCAAATTAATGTAACCAAGCAAGCATCCCCAATGACTGCCCAAAGCCCTGTTTGATATGTAGAGACTTGTTCCTGGCTGTTTAAAAAAATTAAAATTATAGAAAGAAAGTTCTATAAAACAATTCATGCATTGATGATAAATGTATCACTTGCTTGAACTCTTTAATTATGATATGCGTGCAACTTTTAGATTGTTATAAATGAAAACATTTGGAATAATTAAAGTTATTTTTTGTATATATATATATATATATATATATATATATATATATATATATATATATATATATGCAAGACAAAAACAAACAGTGCACATGAGAGAATATATTTTCTCTTGCTCTCCTCCACAGGTTGGTGCAGCATCAGTTTCATGGAGAACAATGGCCCGCATTTCTTTGGATTGTCCAGCCTCCTTGCCAGGAATACCTCTCAGTGTGCTGTCGGTGCCCATGGAGAATAAATACAAATGTCAGCAGTGTCTCCAGGTCCTGAGGAAACCTGTCCAGGCTCAATGTGGCCACCGTTTCTGTGTGCACTGCTTCAAACTGCTCACCAGGTACACCACCCTCTCTGTGCCAGCTTAATGCCTCCTCCCTCTTTTTGTGGATCTCCATCAGCGCATCGTCTGCTTTTTTTTTCCTGCTCTAGTCTTGATTTTCTTTTTTTTTTTGTGCCTGAGATCATTTTCTTAATGCAGACTCATTCCTTGCATGGTTGGACTCGGGTGATTCACAAGGATCCAGTCATTAATCTTTGCTGAGTCAGTGTGCTTTTTTTTTTTTTTGTCTGCTTCTTCGGTGGATCACCCATAAACCAGTTATCTGTGGATATATTAGTGTTTTTTTTTTATAACATTCACACACACAACTTTATGTTTACAGATAAATCAGGTTCATCACTAAACATAAAGTACTGAGATGAAAATGAACCAACTTAGCAACACATTGCAGTTTTACTAAAATAAAGGTTTTTTTTATGGGAGCAATCGTGGAAAGTTTGAAATGCTCAAACTGTTCTGGTGAAATTCCAGTTTTGCAATGCTTATGTTGTCAGAGCTGAGCTGTCTGGAATCCAGTCACATGATATCTCCTTATGTGCTGACAAGGAGCTACCGGTAGTTCAACTAGCTCCATTTATCTCTGTGGGATTTTTTTGTTTATTTTTAAAACCAGATAAATTGAATTAATTCAGTGTTCTGCTCCAAATCTGTTGCTAAATCCCTTCTATTTTGCTTCTGCTCCATTTGTTAATGGTTTATCTGCTTGAGCTGTGATCCATGTTAGTCAGTAGATGATGGGAGAGCAGGTTATTGTTGCTATTTAATCAGGAAAATCTTTTTTTTAGCGCTGGTCCAAAGCCTTGTGAAGCCTGTCGCCAAGAGGAGATCTATGAGGAGCCTATGTCCATCCTGAACAGTAGTGAGGTGAGTTTTCAGACAGCAGTTAGAATCACACATTGTAATAGATTTTACTAATAGCTACACAGGTAGCTCAAACTTGTGAAGTGGCCACTAAATAAACAGATTTTTTTTTTTAAATACCATCTTAAAATTGTGTAGTGTGTTTTTATTCAGCCCCTTTTCTACTATGAAACCCCTAAAGCCCAGTGCAACTGGACAAGCTCCCCTAAGCAGGGAAGAGAGTCCAACCAGATCTAAAAAGTGGAAAATGTTGCAAAAGAAATGGGCCCCTATTTAAAATGGGGCGAACCAGAGAGAGAGGAGCAGCCAAGAGGCCAGAGAGCTGCAGGGCTCTACAGTTCAGGTTCAAAATCTGTCTGTTGGCAAGGAAGTCAAACTTAGCCGTTATACAGGAGTGGCAGGAAGATCAATGAGCATCAGATTTCCATTTAAATGTTTTCTGACAATATGAAACCAGAACTGGAGTTATATGCTAAACTTGTTACCCTGAAAACCCCATGTTGATACACAATAGGGGCAGCATTATGCTCTGGGAATGTTTTCTTTCAGCTAGAATAGGAAGGTGGGAGTTAATAGAAATGCAGTGTGATCCTGGAGGAAACGCTGTTAGACAGGAGGGCAAAGGTTCATGTGAATTAGAGTCCCTGCAATGACTGAGTTCATGTTCCCAGCACTCTTTTTCCTGAGTGTGCTTAAGCTGTTTTACAAGAAAGCTTTGGTGAAATTGGCTGCAGATATAAAGAGTGGATAGAAATACCCTAAAAGAAAGATAATAAAAATTTTGCTTATCAGATATGTGTCCTTTTACTTCCACTTCACAGTTCTGCACCATTTTTATGTTTTACTCTCCCATAAAACATCAATAAAGTACCTTGTAGTTTGCCTTTGTTGTGTGACTGAATGTGAATGCTTTGCATTACTTTGTATGTTACTCATTTAAAGCAAAGGTGAATGTCTGACCACAGCCTGGAGGGGGTTTCCATAGTTGCACAAAGAAGCCCACTCTGTGTTCTAAGTACAATCACCGTCTTTATGCGTCCGCTGAACACTGTGTTCTTGCCCCCCACCTTGTCCACCAGGCATTTCCAGACAATGCAGCCGGTAGAGAAATAGCAAGTTTGCCTGCCAGGTGTCTAAACCAGGGCTGCAGCTGGACGGGATCGATAAAAGATTATGAGGTGAGATGATAATTTGAGCTGCTCTGTTTTCTCTATGGGCTCATGTCGGGCCTCATTAAGGTGTCAGGTTACCCCTGAGGTTAACTAGTAGTCCTTTTACATATCAGTGTGACCTGACCTAACTATCCTAAGGCTTTGTTTTCCTGAACAAGCTCTGCTGCTTTCTTTGCAGCAGCTGCAGTAGGAGAAACAGGAAGTGAAACTGAACATGTGGGCTGGAAAGTCCCTGCGCTTTTTGATATTCACAAACAGCTCAGTGGAAAGTACCAGAAGAAAAGGCGATGTAAGCTTTGGGCGGTGTGGATTAACTGGCCGCAGATCTCCCCTGATAATGAAGCCACCAACTATCTAAGCTGTAGTTTATGTGGAAGAGTCAGATTAGAGGTTGTGGAAGGAAAGCAGTTAGAAAAGCCCCAATATTTAATGCTACTCTAAGTCCTCCTCTGACTGTATTTAGTTTGTGCTGTAAATATGTCTGCTTGGAGGTAGTTGGTGGGTGTTGCTTTGTGAAGGACGTCCTACATGAACGTCATTTTCTGTTTAAGGGGAGTTTACTAGCTGCTGCGGTCACACTTAGCTGTAATTCCTGACAGTTTGGGAAGATGCACCACTCTGATATTTCATTCAATGGTTCGATGGTGCAGGCCGTCCCGTATTTGCATGCTGTGCATGTTCCTATCTCAAAAAGCATGTGCTGATTTAAATGTGCCGTTGGTTATTTATTATTATCACCCAATTGGCTGGGTGAAACACCCACACAAGTATGATTAATTCTGAGCCACTCCCGAAGGAGTCCCCGGCTTGGAAAAAACATGGTTTCCCAGCAGCTTTCTTTACACGCCCAGCCGAGAGGGCGCTTCTTGCACTAGAAAAACCAGCTAGTTGTGGCTAACACATTTCGAACCCGAAGCCACTAAAAAGATGACTCATTTTCACTTTTGCCTTGGATCTGTCCTTTGCAAAACTGGTGATTCAAATGGAAAAAACGTTCAAACATACCTGATGGTTTCGCTCGGTAGATCGCACGTTGTGATCCCAGTCATTCAGGGAGAAACAAATGGCGGCTCCCGTGGCACCGCCTCCAAAATAAGCCCTGCCCCTTCCTGTTTCGTCATTTTTATTCCTAGTAGAGCCGCTAAAACGTTTTTTATTTTAAAATAAATTTCCTCTTTTTGAATTTTGCACACTTCGGCATGTTCTTGTAAACGATGTATCATAACTCCTGCTTTTTTTTTTTACAACCGTTTTTTTTAAATACAGTTTGAAATCCTTTGTTTCTAGTTTTGGCATATAATAAAAGTCATTCATTTTTGACTCCTTTACAAAAAAACCTTTAAGATTTAAAATAAAAATAACATAATCATTCCATGATCTCTTTTTTTTAGTTTGTGACATTTCCCCTTTGTTGTGTGTGTGTTTTTTTTTTTACTTCTTTGCAAAAGGCTGCAGTAACAACAAAACAAAAAGCAATGGTTTGTTTGGTTTTGTAATGCCAACACAAACCTGTGCCACTCCTGCTCTTCCCAGAAAGGTTATTATATGTTCAGACATCTTTATAAGAGTGTTTGTTTGTTCTAATGTGATGCGGTTTAACCATCCTTATAAAATGGCACAACCAGACAGCTTGTGCAAACCTCATGATCTTAAATATTATGAAACAAATAGCTGATGGGTTTGACTTGTGTGAAAACAGCAAAAAATTATTGAGTACAGAATCAAGTTATTGTTGTCTACATCTTCAGGCTCAACACGAAGGTCGCTGTGAATATGAGAGGGTGCAGTGCGAAGCCTGCCAGGCCTCCATCCTCCTCAAGGACAAGGAGAGACACAATGAGAGGGAATGCGAGGAAAGAACTCTGAACTGCAAATACTGCAAAGTAACATTCAATTTTAAAGACATTAAGGTGAGAAATGCATGTAATTATGTGTAATAAAGCAGTTTTCTTGTACTGCTTTGCAAAGATAAGATTTTGTTCTATGGAAACAATTTCAGGCCCATGATGAAATCTGTGTCAAGTTTCCGTTACAATGCAAAGACTGCGGAAAGAAGAAGATCCCAAGGGAAAAGGTTAGAGCTGTTCTGGTTTTATTTATTTCTGTAGATTCAGTTTTTTATTTATATTTGGTGCAAAAACAATTTAGCTCATACCCATGGAAAGCCATTTAAATAATTCTTCAATGGCGCCACATTTGTGAAGGAAAGGCATTTCTGGATTTATCCAGTTTATCCCTGCTAGAGTCACACAGCATTTAGTGGCAATAGAGGGAAGATAATGATCTCCCTCATGTATAATACTGACCTCAACCCCCATAAACACTTTAGGAGCAGGATGCTGTTTATGCCATGCTAACCAACCACTCTGGCTGACAGCTAATGCTGGTTGAGGAAGGAGCTGTTATTCCATGGCTGTTGTCCATTAAACAAACACCAAAAAATGCATTTCTTCTATAACAGAGACACTTCAGGGAAATAAACAATGTTAAGAGTTACTGAGAGAACAGGTATTGTTACAATAAAGGTCATACTTTTGGATTGCATATTTAAAAAGGTTGGAAAAAAACAGTTTTCTGTGTTTTTTATTGATATATAGTTTTGGTCGGAGGATTACATAAACTCATAATAGTCATCAGTGCCTTGTCAGTTTTATTTCCATTTGATTCACTGTTTTGCCATGGTGTGGTGATAATTCAAGAAAGATATTAACTGAGGGCACAAGTTGGAATTTGTTTATTTTTTCAATAACAGTAAAAAGGTAATATAGGCTGATATCTCTGAACCAATTTATTAATATTTGGTGAAAGGCTTCTCGGAAATCTAATCTCCAATTCTGTCCTTCCAAATAAAATTAATCAATTTACTATTTTTTTTTATGAAAAATGATAAAAGAAAAAAATCAATAAAATATATTTCTTAAAAAACAGCTTTTATTTCAGTCAGCCCCTTTGGGAGACATGATTGTTTTACAATAAAACAATCATGTCTCACGATCAACAATGAAAATAAAACACACCAAATGTTTGTGTGAAGATGAACTGATGCCACTCAGAACTATGAAAGCCCAACGAGTGGAGGAATTTGAAAAAAATCCAAATTCTCCAAGAAGGAAATAATCAACAGAAAATCTAATAAGCTGATTAAATCAATTAAAGGAAAAGTCCGGTCAGCAAGGAATGATCAATGAATCATTATTTATACCTAAAAGTGATGTCACGAAGCCGAGCGCCATTCTCCCCACTTTACAAGATAAATCAATGGGAACTATTATACCCACCTGCAATCAACAACAGTTAATTAATTTTCGAGAGGACCTCACCTTTGAAATTCATGAGAGCTATAGTTAAACTGACAATCCCACTTGCATGGCAGTTGGATGTTGTAATACATCAGGTGAAAGTGAAAGAAAAATTAGTTATTTCACCTTTCTTATTCATGATCCACCACCGACGTGTTCGTCTTTGGATTGCCAACTTGAAGAGGGAGGATTTGCCATCGAATTTCTGGGCAGAGAAAAAACGCGTAATATGTAGCCAAAATTTTGAAGAAGAATGTTTTCAATATAATTTGGATAATAGCGCCTAGTAACAAAAAAACAGATACAGCACTTGGCCTTGTTTAACAGTAGTTTTCTTTGACGAACATGGATGTCTCCGGTAAAGCACATTCAAATGAAATTACTCTTTATTAAAAACACTTTGCCTTTATTGAACAGTATGTAATGATTTCATATTTAAAGTAATTTCAGAAGTTTGAAATCTGAATATGAACAGACTTTTCCTTTAATCACCTAGCCCTCTCACCAAACATTTTTTTATATTGGTTTATCTCTGTTTAATCCAAAAGCTTATTAATAGCCATAGTATTTATTCCTAAACCCATTTTACTGTTTGTTTGGGATCAGCGTTGGAAGTTTAAACATTCTAGCTGTTGATTTTAAGTAAAGTTGAATCGCAACGACACCACTGGCAGGTAACCTTCCCCACAGAATGATTCTACCACAGCCGTGCATAGCCACTGATAACACTGATAAGCCAAATGATATCTACTTTTTTTATCTCTAAAATTAGAAATATGCGATTAATTATGAATTAAAATATCTGAAAGCTACGAATTTTAATACAGAGAAATATTCAACAGTATTTGCAAATTAAACAGAATAAATTATAGTGAATCCATTGATCTCAAACAGAAAATCCCTCCAGTTTCCTTTTGACTCTACATCACATAGTTTTGCTTTTATTCTTGTTCCTAAGTAAGGTCTCTCTAACTCCTCACTTTCTGTTTTTGCCTGCTCTCTCCTCAGTTCAATGACCACATCAAGTCCTGCGCCAAGTCAAAGAGTGCTTGTCCGTTCAGCGAAGTGGGCTGTAAAACTGTGGTATGTGCAAAAAGAAAAATCTCATTATGTCTAAGACTGACATCAAATATGCTCTCAGCTTTGCTCAACTTAAAACTTGTGAAAAGGGCATCAAGTTTCAGAATAAAACATCACTTCACCTTCTGTTTTGCACCATATAATTCCCAGTATGAATCGTATAGCTTGTTAGGTTATGGTTGGTTATTACTAATTAATAAATAGCTATAGTAATTAAAAGGGTATTTTCTGTTATTAACTAGAGGTCATTCACGTTCACTCAGTCATTAGCAGACAGATAAGATGTTTCAGATTCTGTTCATACTGGCAGGCAGACGGGACTTTTTGTCACATCTCATGAGAACTGTTTCTTTTTTTTTTCTTCTTTTTTTTTTGTTGGTGTTTTCATATCGATGTCTTAAGTTAATTGATTTGCATTTGCATTTAAAAGTCTCCTAGTTAGTCTCCCATCTGAATGTCTCCTGTATATGCTGAAATAAACCTTGATCTCTGGTCTTGTTTTACTCAGGTGGAAAACGGGAAGCTCAGCGACCATGAGCACAGTAGCACCATGGAGCACCTGCGTCTGCTGCTTCCGATGGTGCTGTCCATGACGCGGACACAAACAGATGCCCTTGGATCCGGGGAATGGCAGGAGGACTCAGGGTTGGGTCTGTACAGAGCTCCTGAAGAGGGGAGCGGAGCTGCAGCTGCACCGCCTGCAGACCTGGAAAAAAAAGTGAGCCTTTTGTATAAACATTATGACTTTTACTAATGGAGACAAACACGGACCAAAAGGCATTTTTCTCATGTTAAAGCATTAAACATTTTTTTTTTTTCGTAGATCTCAACATGATAAAATATTAAATAAAAATCAGTTATTGACATGAGTCCTATAATCACATATTGCTGTTTTCCACCAGGCAATTGCTTTAGAAAACATTGTGTGTGTCCTGAATCGGGAAGTGGAACGAAGTTCCCTAACCCTGGAGGCCTTCGCCCACCAACATCGGTTAGACCAGGAGAAGATTGAAAATCTGTCAAACAGAGTGCGACAGCTGGAACGGACGGTGACCATGAGAGACCTGCAGCTGTCTGAGACTGATCAGGTGGTGCGGGAGCTGCAGCACTGCACCTACGACGGGATTTTTGTCTGGAAAATCACTGACTTCTCCCGGCGCAGACAGGATGCGGTGGCCGGCCGAACACCTGCAATGTTCTCACCCGGTAAGAAAAGAGACGTGATTGCATTCATGTGTTTTTGATGCTTCGTGACTGTAATACAGATCATGTGGTTGGTGTGATGTTACTCGTTGGCTCCCACATGAGGGAGATTCCACTTCAGTGTGATCATGTTGTTTTTAAGGGAGGTTCCCTGTCAGGGTCTGACAACATTTCAGGGTTTTGTTTTTATTATGAATTCTTTCCTTGCTCTTTTGCAGCATTTTACTCCAGCAAATACGGCTACAAAATGTGTCTGAGGCTTTATTTGAACGGCGATGGGACAGGACGAGGGACGCACCTCTCCCTGTTCTTCGTGGTCATGAAGGGCAAGTGCGACGCTCTGCTGAAGTGGCCCTTCAGTCAGAAGGTACTACAGTTCAAGAATCATTAACCAGAACCCTGCAGGTTTTCTGTGAAAACAGAAGCTTATTTAGTCCTTCTTTCTTCTCCCTACCCAGGTGACTCTGATGCTCCTGGATCAGAACAACAGGGAGCACATAATCGACGCCTTCCGACCCGACATTACGTCCACCTCCTTCCAGCGGCCGATCAGCGAGATGAACATCGCCAGTGGCTGCCCGCTCTTCTGCCCGCTGTCAAAGCTGGCAGGCAAGAGTCCATATCTGAGAGATGATACGATATTTATCAAAGCCATCGTAGACCTCACAGGCTTATAATGTGCACTGTGGAAGCTGCACTGAAATCCTTATGCATAAGACTATAATATATAAAAGTTTTTTACCTATATGCCCATTTATGGGTAATATTAATATGGTTAATAAACTAAAATAAATAAAAACTACCGTATTATTATTATTATTATATGATTCTTATATCTTAGTATTATTAAGCAATATTATAAAATATCTTTATATTCATTATAAAACTACAGCTATAATAGTTTGGATTTTTTGTTTAGTATTTTTTTTTATTTTCTATATTTTTCAAGATGATATATTCCTTTTTAATAATTTATTACAGGTAGAACTCCTCTCACTGACTCCATAACAGGAAAGTAGACAAACCCTTTGGCCATACGCACCAAAATCACCAACCTAACGATGCTTTTTACCTGCTACATGATAAACTGAGCATGCATTATATTTAAGACAGGAACAAATGGCACAGAATTTTTTTTTTCTGATATCTCCCTGCAGTTTGAACGTTCTCCCAACGCACCGATAGGGTTTCTCATTTAGAATATTTCTCGTATAACTTTTTTTATTTATTTCAACTTCACAACCACACATAGTATCTAATCTTTTTTTTCCATTTCAAGATGATTTGGTCAAATGATAGAAAAAGTCAAGGTGCACGTAATGCGTAATTGCTGTTTGGGGAGGGGGGCACATAAACTCCTTCCCCTACTTTGATCACCTCTAGTCGACTGAACCCTAACAGATGACAAATAAACAAGTAAACAAAACATTTTTTTGTCACATTAAATAGAAAAAATAACAGGAATATATATACTTTAAATGTATTGAACTTTGATCATTTGCTCTTTGAGAGCTTTCAGCTTTTTTTCCCTGCAGAATATGTTTGTTCAGAATACCTCAGAATGTTATCCATATATTTAGATGTTCAACATGATCTTTTTTTGTTCTTTTGTTTAAATTGGGAAGACATTTACTGTATGCAGAGATGTTTGTTCCACCCATGTACAACATTCACTAACAACTGTGATTCAAAGTTATGATTATTTCTTTAAACTCAGTTTAAAGAAGTCTAATTCTTACCAAGCTATCCAAATTTGTATCTTTATTTCTTTTTTTTTATTTCAGGTTCATTACATCTTTGCCACTTAAAATCTCCTTGTACCAAAGATTTCAATGTATGTGAAATTTAAAACATAAACATTCATAGAATTGTATTATTAAATTAAAAAACATATGATAGCTCTGCATACTAAATACTTAATCATCAAGACATCATAACAAATATATAAACCTATATTTATATATAAAGAACATTATTGCTGAAAGTAAATATGGGCAACTGATTTAGTCATAGTTACATTTGTTGGGGGCTCTATTGAGTATCACTGTGATTTAATGTATAACTTTACTGAATATGTAAAGCTGTGTTAAAAAGCTGAATATAATTATTTGATTAAGTGAAAATATAAAGTCATTTTAGCTTTTGATTCTGTATTAATACCAGGGATTTTATTTCACAATGCTGCTTTAATAAAAAAAAAAAAAAGACTATTTAAACCACCATGTTCTCATATGGAGTGTTGAATAAATGGCTTTATGACACACAGACCAACATTTACTTATAGAGTAGTTTCCATTTTAAATCTGCTTTTTTTAACTGTGCATTGATCAATAAATGATGCTTTGAGGCTATTAAAGTCATAATGAAACTATAGCATCATGTTGATACTGCAGAGTCAGAACAAGAAGTCTGGCTCTACAAACAGAAGCTGATAAAAATCATCCTGAAAGCAACTTTGGTCACAGTTCACTCATCATCTGAGTTTTTAGGGTTTACCTAACCGCCTTTTCAGGTAATTCCTCCTCTGCAAAGCTGCTCATGTTTCACGGATATTGTGGTTAAAAGCCGTCGTTGTAGATGTGGAACGTGATGTACACTTTGTTTTTGTTTTTTTGGATATCTGCACGCTGCACTACATGCACGTTGGGAAAGTCCTGCTTGTGTTTACCGCAATCACAGCAATTTAAACATCAGGCGTTTTAACTGAAAGTCTTCTACGTCAGTAAGGAAAAAAAAGGTTTACCTGAGAAAAAAAAACAAAAAAATACAGATTAACACCAGGAGTTCTGCTCCAGACTAGAAAACAATCTTTCACCCAAAGGGCTATTTATTTATTAGCACCATTTAATCAAAACAGCATTTAAAAGTCATTCAACATCAAGAAAAGTTTGTAGAAATTCATATATATTTGTTAAAGAGGTCAGGTAAATTACAACTATAGTCACATATCCAAGAGCAGCTTCCTATTAGTTATAAATTGAGTTTTCACCTGTTTAGATCCTTTGTTTAATGTAAATGCTAAATCGTTCAAATTATTGAATGTTTGATAGTGTTGAAGGGGGCCAGTTGTTGCCATTTTAAAAGTAAGTGTAACCTTTAAATCTTGGTAACATTTTATTAAAAGTGTAGAAGTGGACTTTTTTTTCAATTGTTTTGTTGATCTGTTACAAAATTAGTTGAATCTCATATTTGCAAAATTGTGTGATTTGCTCTAAGAGCAAAAATGCTGCCCTCATGGAGAGGAAGCTAGAAAATTTATTAAATCTTGCTTGAGAATTAACCTACAAATTGAACAGTTCTAAAAAAAAATATTTTTTTTTCATATAAAACTGTATTAACTGCATCTATACTGTATATCTGTTGGAAATCGGCTTTGAACCAGTAGAAAACGTGATCATCTGTTTGGATTTGTGTGATAAAAAGTTTTATATCAAATCGATTCAGCGTGTGCTTTAAGTGTAAATGCCATTTGACAAGAAATCTTTGAAAGAGTCAAAACCTTGACATATTGTACTGATTGTTATGCATGGTGGTGGCTTCATAATGCTCAGGATCTGATCCAGTGCCAGTTGTACTGGCACTTCGCTCGAAGTGGGTTGAGGAATAAAGATGATGAACTGGCATCAAAGCAGGCTACCTTTAGGTTTCTAGAATGGGGCTCATCTCATCAACATTAAGCAGTTTGTCAAGAACTCTGGTCTTTCTGATTCAGGGGTCATATCAATTCAGAAATACACCAGGTACTTGATGATTTTAGAACTTGTTTTTTTTCTCACACTTGCTAAATGAGTTTAATAAAGCTAATCAGTTTAGGTAGAACTTGGAACATATAATTTCATTGGTCTCCTTTTAAATGATCAACCTCAGTCGACCCTAATCCAATCTCTGGATGCAAAACCTTAATGACACACTACGAAGTAGGCATGGATGTGTTCCTCGTTGCATGCATTCATTTTTTCCCTTTGATGATTAATTGCTTGCTAATTGGCAGGAATGCATCATTGAGGTTTGCCCTAGGCCAGAGGGGAATCCCTGCTCATTAATGCAAAAAAGACAAAAACTTTCAATAAGCAAATCTCTAAGCAAAGAGATGCTAAATAGTGCATTTATATGACAAGCATATCTTATACATCTTGAACAATTCCATATAAGCTGTTCTATATGAGCAGCACAGGAGGCGTCTCACACAATCTGAGCAACCGAGGATTTTTGCAGCAACAATACTCTGAGGTATTAATAAAGCAGAACACCAACTCTCCTATACTGGGGTCCGTTTGATTGATTTATTGCACGTTTAACAAATTCAGATGAAAAAAATTTATTTTTTTCAATTATACTAGATCAATCGGCAACTCTAAATTGGTTTAGCCTAAAGTCAGGAACTCTGAGAGTTCGGTTTCACAGCGACTGCTTCAATCAATTTTAACTAAGTCCACTCAGAGTTAGGCACGTGCGCAACAAGTATGAAAAGCCATTATCAGTGGAGCACTGATATGACCAGTCACCATGACAACATGCAACAGGAAGTGCCAATTTCACCCTACCGGAACTACAGATTTTAATGCAGAAATGCCAAAATATAAAAGGAGAATGTGTTTAAAAGACAGAGGAAATGCACTACAGCTTCAAATGAGAGGAAGGTGGCGAAGGAGAAGATTGTTGCTCGAGTTAATGTGTAAGTTTATTTGAAGTTGTCTGTGGCAGGCCGTTTTAACATTTATTAAAAGCACTCCTCTCTGTTGTTCCATTTGTAGATCACTAAAATAACATTCTTCCTGATCAAAATCACACTCCTAGACCTAACTTTAAAAATATTGTTTTCCAAATTCCATTTTTGTAGCAGATACTGAATTTTAAAAAGTAAATAAACAAAATTATACCAGTAAGAATTTAATTTAAAATATCTAGAAATTTTTACACATTTTAAGTGGCCATTCTGACATTTATCAGCTTGACTGAATATGTATTTATCATATCTGAAAAAAAAAATTATAGTTAAAAAAAAATGCTAAATAGTAATAATAGGAATATGGAGATCTAAAATTAATTTATAGACATCCAGAAAGTTTATTCTAGATGTAGAGGATGTCATTTTGTACGAAATTTTAATTCAGACAAAGAAAAAAATTGTTTTTTAGATATCAGGAATACATGTTCAGTAATATTACTTGAATGGTAGTAGATCAATGTATCTATTTAGGTGAAATCTTCTGACAACATTGTTCTAATATATAGAACCTGTGCATCACATCATGCGTCCCTCCTCATGTTGATTCAGTCTTTTTTTTTTTTACACAGTAGCCTAGATACTAAGTGGCACAACGTTTAACATAAAAAATATATAACAAACAGTTGATTGGAATATAAAAACATCCTGTTACAACCAGTAAAGTAATAAAACATGGCAGGAAAGAATTATAGCTGTGACTTCAGTGATTTAAAGGTGTTATATAAAATACCACTCAAACTATACTATATGATCAATTTAACATTATAACTATTTTCAACCATTGTCTAAAAATATAAAAACATAAAACATAACATGGAGAATGGGCAAGTTCAAATATTAAAACTTACATAAATAGCTAATTTCAGAAGATGTGTAAATTTGGATCCATTTCAGGATCTGTGTTGTTGTTTTTTAAGGACTGCTGCATAGAGCTGTAGAGATGATTAGAAGTGTGAGATGTCATTTCTGGCCCAGCACCATTTTAACCAATGGAACTGCTCTCATTTGAAGCTTGCTTTCTTAATTTTATCATACGAGAACTGCTTTTCCTGCACTGGTTACATAACGTAATAAGCTAGCTTCAGGGAGGCTATGTATTTTTAGGTTGGTTTTTTTTTTCTTTCGGATGTTATCATCCTTATAAATGGCCGTTATAAGCGGCTATCAGCCCCATAGAATGCCCTCAGATTGTGCCAGTAGACTCATTATATCATCGAGTGAATTCTAATCCTAAAGTATAATCTGAAATGTGTAATCTAATAATATTTTCAGTAGTTCTTCATGTACTGTAAATATAACTAAATAAAAATAAAATTATCAGCATCTTGCTCATATTAAACAAACCAAAAACAAGTAATCTCATGCCCTGTCAATTGAGTTGTAGAATCCTCTCCCTATAAACATCTAATTCTATGTTAAAAAACGCCGATCATTCTTTAATAAGATCCTTGTCAAAAGGACATGCAATGTTTGTTTTAAAACTTAATGTGTGTTACGGAGCTATAATGAATGATATATATTTTTATGCACAAAACTATGACAAAAAACAGACTAAATCAGGATATAAAATGACGTGATTGGCTGTAAGGTGAGCGGAGACAGAGGACACTAAGTTTACTGAAGAAAACCTGCAACCGACCAGGTTAGCTGTGGAGAGAATGTTACTAAGGTGACAGAAAGAGAGGTTGAGGAAACTCTCTTTGTGAACCGGACCCCTGATCTCCTTTTTATCAGTCCATCAAATCATTTCCTTAGTTTAAAGTTTTTGTGAAAAGAGTCAAGGGTTAGAAAAGCTTTCACAATCATCTGTCAGTTTTATCCCCACTCAGAGTTCATCTGCCTCAGAATGAGTACAACTATAAATATAAAACATCTATGCTTTCCTGGAAGCTTTTATACATAGTCCAAAAGATGCATCACTGTGTGTATTTAAACTTCACTGCATATTAAACACAGGCGGTTTTCTATCTCTAAATTAATGCATTTGGTCTAAACACCAAAGATAAAAAAATAACTTGATAAATTCGTTAGTAGTTCAAAGGTGTCAAAGGGAAATAAATACTCCTTTAACTTCTCAATCCACAACCTTTAATCAAGGGCTGCACAACAGTTTAAACATTAATTTGACAGGTCTTTAGATGTAATGCTCTGTGGGGCATGCTTTTTATTGAGACGGTACAATAAAACAACATCTGACATGAAGCGTAAAGACGGAGAGGAGGGAAGCAAAGGGAACATTGAGAAAGATTGTAAAGAGAGCTTGAGACATTTTGACTTCTCATGCACATTACAAAACATCGAAAATAACAGATCTGCTCAAGAGCAAAAAAAAAACAACTGAGAACAATGGGTTTTTTTTTTTCCATCAGTCATATCCTCTTTCTTCAGAGAACCCACATGGAAAGGTCAGTTTCTACCTGCTAAAAGTACCTGAAGCAGGGTGAACTATAAGGCCTGCAGATTTGCTTGTTTACTATTTCAGAGGCACTGAATACATAATCTAGCAGTCCCATGGAGGAAATTAAAAGTGATATCCTTTTTTGTGTTCATTTGTTTTTATTTTAATCACTGATCTCAGGTCAATTTGGTAAGAATTTTGTAAGAAGGTCCATTAAACTGTTTTCCTCCAGTTGTCATTGCTTGCTTAAAGCAAAGCATAGTGCAAACTTTTCGTTTCAATGTAATTCTGCCTCAATCGGCCGATCACCTGCAAGGTTTCAATAAACATAACCAGGCGGGCATGTTAAAAGTTGACTTTTAGAATAAAATCTGTCTTTTTTTTTTAAAAACAATTCATTTCTATTAATATTCGTGAACATGGTTTAATAAATAAGTAGTTAAACATTTTTTTAATAATCCACCTCGATGGGTGCTTTGTTCAAGTAAAAACTTAAATTGGCAGAAAACTTTGGGGCGTCGGGTCATAAAACAGTTAGCAGTCGACTAAAACGATTAACAATCATTTATTGCGTTAGCACCACTCTGTTGCAAAACGAGGGGTTGAGCTTTCATGGGTAACAACAAAGAAAAACAACACAAATACATTTTTTTTTTATGAAAAACTCTCTGAAATCACTCAAATATCCGAAGACCAGAACCTAAAGATGAAGCTGTGTGCTGACAAAAAAAATGAGTGTTTCTATAACCATGTCCACACTAGACAGTTAGCTATGCACACAGAACACGCCTTGTTTACAGTCATGCTCTGGACCAACTTCCTCAACACAACTTTTATATTAAACTGTTTAGTAAGTCTAAGTTTATTACAATATATATTTTTATTAAACAATGGGGTGGGATGTGACATCACTGAAGCAAAGAAAGTATACTAAATGCTCTGTCTCTTTCTTTTTTTATCCCAGTAGGGTTTTTTTTTTAAACTGTGGCATAAATCTCCAAAGATGTGTGTGTGTGTTTTTAAAGATTTTTAAATCAGAACACCAGTTTAAGATCTTCATCTATAATGAGAAAAGTACCATCTCATCATCCTTGCTACTCAGGTCCAGGAATCCAGAGTCCGGTTTCTTCAGGTGCAACCGTACAGATGGAAAATAAAAATAAAAAAGACATGATGATATCCATCTGATAGAGTTCTGCCTCAAATGTTCAGGTTTCTATCTGGGAAAAATCGGTAGATCCTTGATTGACGTCCTCTTTGCTGGTGCCACATCGCCCCCTGGTGTCTGCATTGGCCTGGGTGTCCTAAACTGCTTTAGGTCACAATACAGTGAACTCAAGCAAAAACATGAGCGCATGATGTAAACACATGGAGTGTTTTACTCGCCATGCTGTCCTTACCCTGTTCTACTTCTCGTCTGAAGGCCTTCTCCAGCGCTCGCTTAGGGTTTCCCGTTCACGCTGCCCGTAAACGTAGAGTTCTTGTTGCGTAACAGCCAGGACGGAAGAAGGCTGCGAGGCCTCAGCTGTCGGCTGGAGGCCTGAGCCAGGCGGACCATGCGAGGCGAACGCCACACCTTGATGGTGAAGTCGTCGCTGGCTGAGAGGAGCAGCTCCTGGTCGGCTGGGCTGAACGCCACCGAGTTCACCACGTCATCGTGTGCCAAACGGGCGAGGCAGATGTTGTAATGGCGGTCCCAGATGTAGCCATGTTTGTCCTCTGCCCCACTGCGGAGAAAAAGTCAGTGAATTGCATTGAAACAACTGAGCCCAACCCATAACGTTCAGAGTGTTTTAATCAGACAAAATTTGTGTTTTGTGTTGATCTTTCATTTGAACTCACAACTAAACATTTGGACCTTATGGATGAAACAATTAAGCAGGGTGACTGAACACAGCATAGAAATAAAACTCCATTTGAGAGATAAACCATCTGCACCCCACCTGGCAACAAAGTCCCTGCTGACATCAAGAAAGATGAAGAAGCACTCGTCGTTAGGAGTGAAGGCCCGATGAGCCCGGAGACTCCTCCTCTCCTCCCTCAGACTCTTAAGGTCGATGACATGCATGTCTATCTCCTCGGCGATGGGAGGCGGGGACATTGGATCTGAGATCACGCATCCTTTCGGCCAGGCTCTGCTATTTACGTATAGATACCTGAGCGACAACAGCAAAACAGCTTGAGTCATTATATTGAAACATTTGGGTGATAATTATGCAGCAGCTGTTCAACAAGAATTTAAAACATTTCTGTTATGGATGGAAAAGGAGGAAGTGAAGACTGAATTTTAAATGGAACAAAAAGTTCTAGAAACAAACAAGGAGGAAAAAGGAAGGAGACGAGGATAATATACAGACGGGAGGAAAAGAACGAAGTCTATTAATATAAATATGTTACTTCCTTATCCAGCACTGAAAACTACAGCTATGCTTAGCCCTGGATGCGCCAGAAAACCCCAAACTATAGAATAAATTTGCAATCCCAATCCAGTGGGTGTCATATTGGTCTTACCTGTGGTCAGGAGAAAGGCCCATACCGATGATGTGGCCATGAATATCAATAACGTGGTCCAGTGAATCAAAAAACTCCTCTGAGCTCCTCTCCTCTCCAAGCACATCGCCGGAAGTGGTCATCTGGTCGGGTTTGATTCGCTTAATGCCTGAGAAGGAACGAGCAATGACATAAGATAGAGGACATCTCTATGTGTCACAGTCACAAGCTTTGATCCTAGTATAGAATATTTTACATAGATATACCTATCTGGTGAGGGGAGTATGTAAGGCTGCCAGTGGTGAAGATTAAGTATGTTTTATCCTCCCCCTCTTCAGACTGGGAGGGGTCGGTGAGGCTGGCGTCTGGGGTCTTGGTGTAGGCTCTGCCCATCATCTTAGCAACCTGAGTCTCAATCTGCAGCTCCCTGGCCCCCACGTGTTTACGGCTCTGGATCGGAATGAATTAAAAAAAATATATAAAAAGACAACAGATTTTTTTTCTCTGTCAAAAATCCAGAATTCAGCTAAATCTTACATGATTGATGTGGTCCAGGCCAGATATTGTTAGCTGGGGGGTCCTTGCAGACGAGAAGCTCTGACTCCTTCCATCTTTCCCACATTCCTCCTTGTTCTCTACCTCCTCCTCCTCCTCTTCTTCCTCACTGTCGGACGTCTTCAAATCAAAAAGCAGAGGGTGATGCTGATTTCCCTGCTCAGCTCTCTGCCTCCCAGCCTGAGACTGAGCCTCATAGTCCAGCAGCAGGTCTGGGTTGTCATGCCTACGGCAGTGCGCCACCATCACCGTTCGTATTGTGCTAGCGTTGAAATTCTGGATATTGAAGAGACGCTTCACTACATTAACATTCTCAGATTCTATATCCTACAGGAAAAGAAAATACATATTAAATGAGGATGACAGAGAAAACTGCTGGGATCTTTTTTGGTATCTTTAATTTAGGCAAACTGGAGATTTAAATCACCTGAAAAGCTTTGTTGAGCCAGAGCACCGAGCAGGACGTCATGTTTCCAATCCAGTGCAGATTTCCTGAGATCAGGTGTGTCTCATTAAGCCAACATCCAAACACGTCATACGGTTTGTTCCTGACTCTCGACAACAGAGTGTAATTATCTGTAACAAACCATGAAGGAGACACACTAAGACTCTGAACATAAAAAGGTCACAACTTCAAACCTTAATGGTTTCTTTAAAAATTTGATGCGATGGAGTAAAACAAAACAGCATAATAGTGAGGTAGAAGTTAAAAAATTTTAAAAAATTCTATCTCATATGACTTACGTTTTTGTTTAACAAAACAAACCCCTAAAAATGAAGGTGGGAATTTTCATCCAGACTTTCATTCGTTTCATTCATTCTGAATACTGAATACAAATCCAAAACAACCATTTCAAACTTAACTTCCTCAAGTAGTTTTGTAGTTTTGACTTTGACAAGGCCATTATAACCCATGCATACGCTTCCATCTAAACCACTCCACTGCAGCTCTGACTCCAGGGTAATTTGCTTTATCAAATAAATGATGCTCCACAGTGGCTGTTCCTTTTCACTAATGGGCAATGCATGTTTTCTGCCACATATATCATTTTTGCCTCATTAGGCAGAATACTTATTTTGGTTTGTTTCAGTGATCTTCTTTCATAGCCTATTTGATAATGGTAATAACTGGAGAGATTAAAAAATATTAATAAATGATAATAAAATTGTTAATTAACTCAGAGTAGAAAGAATTAAAAAGAAATGGAAGCCCCTCATAAAACCATGACTGTCTCCAAATGTCCGCCCTAAACACTATATAGGGCACTATATAGTGATTACGCCATTTTAGATGAGTGTCCGAATGCCTAGTGGATGAAAAAGCAGTTGACTCTAAATTTCCCACAATGCACCTGGAAAAGAAGTCATCATCCACGGTCACTAGGAGAGCAGATATATCCCAGAATGCTTTGCAAGGAGAGCTCTCCTCGCAAAGCATTAAGGGATTTGTTGTGACAGTGGCTGTTGGGTAATGATAGCGGCGATAAATAACGGAGATGCCGCAGGCACCATGCGGGGAGGCGGAGTCAGGTGAGCAAAAATAGTGATCATGTGTCCGAACAGTCAGTTAACTGAGTTCACTATAAAGTATACTATATAAAGTCCCCGCTCTGTATAGTGATTGAGGGATTTAGGATCTGGGGCGGACGTTTGGACCCAGCCCATGTGTAATTTTTTATTTTGCATAACATATATGCAATACTTGATCAATACTCCTGATCAGTCTTAAACGACGCAAACATGACGAGATGACACATGAATACTACTTGCAAACTACAGCACTTCATCGTCACATAAAATCTTAAAAATCAGATTTGAAAGCGAAGTTTGGCTGTCAGTTTAGAGAGGATGACAATCTGAAGTCTGATGTAGCTGTTTTATATTTCGATTTTCTTTATTGATTCGTTTAGTGTAGGTAAAAACTTCAATGACAAATTAATTATGAAACCAAAATAAATTTACAAAATACATGGACAGGAAGTCATGTGGGAGTTTCTTGTTTTCCTACCCAGACTAATGACAGCAATTTCCCCAGAAGACGAGTGGTGTGGGACCAGGTAGACGCCAGAGACGAGCAGCAGGGTGTCATCAGGGTTAAACTGGGAGAACTGTGTGTAGGCCCAGTGATACTGGCGCATACTGGTGCTGTGCACCAACGAGATGTTTCCATCCTGCCGTTCTGTGTCCCACAGCTGAAAAAGAGGTTTAGAAACAGCAAACTTAATAAGGGGGAGAGAAAATTTCTTATTTTAGGCATTAAATAAAAGTATCTGAGCACTTATACAGAACACAAAAACGAGGCTTAGTTAACATTACTAAAATTAATACTGCATCTGGTAGGGTCCTCTGAGGATTTTCTGCTCATTTTGCAACATTTCAGCAACAAAAAGTACAAAGACAGAAAGAAATTATAGAAAAGCCATAATAATTTAATCCAAAAAGTTGACAAGCAAAGTCAGGTCTACAATGGTATATATATGATTAGTTATTTCAGAGAGTATAATTTTAGTACCTTAACCGTGCAGTCTTTTGAACAGGAGGAGAAGCGATGGCCCCTGTGAGAAAAAGCCAGGTGAAGAACTTGGTTGGTATGCTCTCTCAGTGTCTGAACTTCCACACAAGGGATGCAGTCATACAGACGCTTGAACTCCCTGTACCACGACACAGCGGCTGCACAAGGGTGGAAAATGCATTATTAGTTCAAATTAACAAAGAAAAAAATTTGCACTAAGTCCCTCCTTGGAAAACATGATTAATATGTTTACAAGGGTGTCGAGGAACGGAGCGCAGTATCCGGTAGTATCTGTAGAACAGTTCCCTCCACAGGAACTCATCTCTGGACACCGCCTGCCACTGCCTGCAGGTCAGGCCGGCTTTCAGCACAGCATAATGGGGCAGATGCAGGAAGATCTCCAAAACCAAGCTGTCCGGCAGAACTGGACTCCAATCCATTCTAACATCCTGAAACAACAACAAATGAACAAAGTGTTTTCCCCCTAATGGTTTCTTCAAGTGCTGCTTCTCCAGCGGTGTCAATTAACGAAGTACGAATACTTTGTGACTGTAATTAAGAACACTTCTATACTTTACTCCATTACTTATTTTTCTTCCTACTTCTGACTCTTACTCATTACATTTTCACACAAGTATCTGCAGTTTCTATTCCTTACATTTTTAAAACAAACGTTACCGGTTACTCTTGGCTTCGGTTTTATGTTTAAAAGTATTTATTTCACATCATGTGCGCCACCCAATGCAGATCATTGGCGCCATCCACATCTAGTAAAAACTAGTGTAATTGGATTCTATGCCATGCTACAATGTCGGATTCAGAAAAAGATGTCGAAATGTGTGAAAGGTCGGACACAGGCGAGAGCGTATAGGGAGATGGAGACGGAGACCAATAACACCTCCCTCATCCTTGACCCTATCTCAAAGAATTTTTCAAAATAGTCAAAATATTGAGCTTTCAGTTCATATAGTGGCATCTGGCTGTTTATTTTAAAGGCTACTTTATACTTTTATACTTTAAGTAGTTTTTGGAGAACATACTTTTTCACTTTTACTTGAGTAAAGAGGTGAAGTTAATACTTTTACCAGAGTGTTTTTAAACTGCAGTATCAAGACTTCTACTTAAGTAACAAATGTGTGTACTTTTGACACCACTGTGCTTCTCTCATGAAACTGTAAACTATTTTTTTTGAGCGAACAATAACAAAAGTAAACTAAAAAGCTGTTTTCAAATCAAGATTTATTATTGAGGGGAAAGCCCATCTCTTTAGCTAATATGTGAAAAAGCAACATTAGTTAAGATTTAGCTAATGAATCAAATTCTTTGACAAGCTAAGTCCAATCTGTCCAACAAATTTCTCCATTGTGAGACAATAAATTGATTTTCTTCTAAAGAAATCATCGAAATAGAATGGATGAAAAGATAAAGAGACCCCAAAAAATTAAAAATCTAAATGAATCTAAAAAAAAAATAAGATGAAGGAAAACTGCCGGTTTCACATGTCTCAAAGGGCTACAAAGCCACCTAACATTGTTTTCCGTTTCTTTGTATTTTAGAACTTCAGTCTGAGGATGAAGACATTTTTACTGAGCAAAAGTATCCGTTTTTAAAAAAATGTACCCATAAAAGTGGTGCTTCAAAAGGTGTATTATGTAAGAGTTTTCACTGTTTTGGACTAGTAAGCTGTTTTTTTTTTACCCAAAAACTATCAGATGTTAGTGTTCAACATGACACCATATAAAAACACCAACATTAAACACATTTAGCCAAACTCCAACAAGTAGAATAATCTAATTAAAACTGCTCATATGCAAATTATTTCATCCATACCTTTCACACCTAAAACCTGCTGTAGGTTAGCCTAATTGTCAACTTTTATTTTATTTTTTTATGACTGGGAAGGAACCTGATGTTTGCTTTCTCATTATGTATCATCTGCTTATTCATATTTTTCCACATAACATTATTGATAATTTTAAATCACCATCTGCAGCCTTAAAGCAAAATCTATATCCCTGTAGTTAAAAGTGTTTATAAAATATATATAAAGGTATTTAGCCAAATGCAAAGCATTTGAATAACAACAAATAACTACTTTTAGGCCAGATTTAAAAATAAACGGCATATATTAAACTAGGTTCAGTTTTTTTAAGACGAAATGTCACTACAATAAACTGTAAGGAAATGTGATGTTTCTTTCCTCTTTCGAAATCAAGATGACCGAACAGAGATGTTGCTGTCAAGCCTTTACACGTTAATATTTTTCCTTTTATCAAACAACCTGCTCTCAAACAAATGACACATTAGATACTGAAATGAATATTTGGGATTGAAAGCATGTTTTCTAAATAAAGAGCTAAAAAGTAGCTAAATAAACAGACAAGGCTAGCGCTAAACTAGCTTAGTGCAACATTTAGCTGTTAGCTAACGTCTGTTTTTAAATAGTTTGACCGGACAAGATTAACTTCAAAACAACGCTTTACTCGCATAAACTAGTGCTAATATTTTACGGAGGTATCAGATTCATGTCATACAAACTAATAAACGTTAAGTGTCACCAACCTGCTGGGTGAGAAAGGGTCGAGGAGAAACAAAATTAAAGAGGTCGGAAGATAGCAACATCAAAAAATGAGAAAAAGCGGAAAAAACAGAGATCAGTTAAAGGGGAATCTAGTTCAGAACAATCCAGTGATGATCAATCCATACATTCCACAGCACAACAAAATGAATTCAAAGTCATATTCAAAGTCGTTAATCAGGCAGACTCTTTTACAAATTGGAATCCGGTTCACTTAACAAAAACCATCAATAAACTTGTCGGAGAAGTAAGAGGTGCCAGAATTCTGTACAGTGGAGACCTGCTAATTAACTGCAGAGACAGCGCCCAGCAAGGCAAAGCAATACGTATTAACAAAATTGACGGGATAAGAGTTCAGTGCAGCCTAATGGAGAACAAAAAGATCAGCAGGGGAGTCATTGGAGGAGTTCCTCTAAAAATTTCTGAAAAAGAGATTCTGGAAAACATAAGCGGTGCAAAAGTAAAAGAAGTAAAACGGTTAAAAACAACAAGAAACGGAGAAAGATCTGACAGTTTATCGGTGTTAATTAAATTCGAAGAAGAGCAATTACCAAGCAAAGTATTCATCGGTTACATAAGCTATAATGTCAAAATCTACAATCCTCCACCATTGAGATGTTTCAAATGCCAAAAATTCGGTCACATTGCAGCAGTTTGTAAAGGGAAACAGAGGTGTGGAAGGTGTGCAGGAGAACATGAGTACGGAAAATGTGGAAAAGAAGTTAAAATAAAATTCTGTAATTGTGGTGGAGAACATACTGCTGCTTATCGCGGCTGTGAAGCAAGCAAAAGGTCTGAGGAAATTAAAAAAAATGAAATTTGAGCTCGGAATAACCTACGCTGAAGCTGCAAAAAGGATCCCATCTCAGTCAGAAAAACCCAAACCTACAGTTCAACACACAGCAAATTCCAAACCTCTAGAGAAATCTCCAAAAATTGATGAAGACTCACTAATTGTTAAAAAGACAAATTTTGTTCTTTTCATGGTAGAAGTGATTAATTGTACTGCACAGACAACAAAAAAAACTGAAAAAATCAAAATAATAGTGAAGGCTACAGAAAAATATCTGGACATTAAAGATTTGAACTGGGAGATGGTTGGAAGCATGATGGGAGGACCGATGGGACCATCAGAAACTGGCAGAATTACGATGACCTAGAGTAAATTAAAATTATATGGGCAAATGTGATTTAGTATTATGTTGGTTTAAGTTACACAGGTTTTTTTTTTTTTTTTTTTTTTTGGGGGGGGGGGGGGGTGAATCGTTTCCTGTTTTCTTGCTTTACTCCATATCAGTTGGTGGCGGTAATGCACAATTCACATGTCTGCCAACCGCCATAAAATCTCATAAGAAGAAGAAGAAGAAGAAATTAAAGAGGTCGCTAGCGCTAAGTGCTAGCCTAAAAAAAATGACAACAATCTCCCATATCTCCTAGCAGCTGTGAGACTCGATTAATTATGTGCAGAATTATCGATACACCAAAATCCACTCAATAGACTTGCTATCTTCATTTATGTCTCAGATCAAGCACCAAAAATGTAGTGAATACAAAAAGCAGTTTACGAATAGTGGGACTAATTTATTTTATACAGACAAAAATGATTCAAATCATCTTAGCCCTTTATTGAATGAAATAGCTCCTTAACATTTTAATTAAATTCATGAGGACAGTAAAAGTAAGGAAATTGCTTTCAATGGCTTGAAAAAAGCACACACACACAAAAGAAAATGCACCACAAAAATGAATGTATAAATTGGACTTTAATATATTGTGTAAGCTTAAAGATTTTTATTTATGTTGGCATCCATCTGCTTTGATAGATAAGGTACACATTGGGATTATGTGCCTGCTGTTGTGAAAGTTTATATGTTCAGATTAAATAGATATGGTTGTTAAAGGTAAATGAACGAGACATTAAAAAATGACTGCATAAGTAACACTGTGCATGGGTTTAACAATAATTAGTGCACTAAATCCTAATTTAAACCCAGCCCAGGCAAAACATCTCATTTATAACTTAGCTATATATAGGATAGCACAATATCATGGAAATATATATCCGAGATACTATAGTTACAATTACTCAAATAATTTTCTGATCTTTATTTACCCTTGCACATTTTTTTCTTGCTGTGCTCCATCAGAATCTCAGTAACTTCAAAAATATTTTATTAATCACAAGTGAAATGTAATGTTGTAGTACTGCATCACCTTTTTTAAAACAAATTGATTTAGATGTATACAGCTGTTGGCAGGAAGGATTTTCTCTATGAGTCTTTCTTGCTACAGATCTACAGAAGCCTTTGACTGAGGACACTGTTGATGTTTCACTTTGGACTGTTCTTAATGTTCTTCACTTTATGAAGAATTCTTCTTTGTGAAATCCTGGAGGAGTTCATAGAACAGAGTCTGCCTTCCTCATTAGCTTAAGATTCTTTAAGTCATCTGCTCTGATGCTGTTACCCCAGCAGATAATGATAGGAGAGATCACATCCTCCACCACAGACCTGTAGAAGAACTGCAAACATCTGCTGCAAACACTGAAGGACCCAAGCTTCCTTAAGAAGTATATTCTGCTCTGGCTCTTCACAGTTGCCCCTCCAAGATGTTCTGTTTTGCCTTCAGTTTCTCGCAAAGTAAGTCAGGCTGAATCGTGTTAAATGCACTGGAGACATACAAGAGCATGATCTCCATAGTGCTGTTGCCAACGCATCTCTCTTGAGTTTTCCAGGCTTCATTAAATTGCTCTCTGCTTGTATGATCATAACGCGTGGCAGAGAGACACTGGAGTCCGGCATATTATTGTTAATATATATACATTATGAAGCGTTTTTTTAGTTTGTCCCAAGTGATCTCTTCCCAGGAAAAGAACGGGAGAGAGAAAGCTTCAAGGTGTAAACGCCGGGCTTTCCTAATCATGATCCTTTTGTCATGTTTCACTAAAATAATTAATACAGCCTTGCTGATATCCTGACTGGGTATTTGCTAGTGCTTGGAGTTGTTTTAAGTGGTTTCCTAAAGATATCGCGTTGCTCATAATGAGTGATGGAAGATATGGCTTAAATGTCCTGCTTCTTTCTCTTGTCCTTGCTCCTGCTCTGCAACCTCAGTGCCTCCTTTTCAACTCAGTGTGCATTTGCTAAAGTAGTTCAAGTAACTAGAGGTCTTGGAAGTAAAAAAAAAAGAAAAATCTTATGGTTGCTATGGTTATGCTTAATAAAAAATGTCCAAATCAAATAAAAAACTGGGAAAAAATCTTTCCAGTTATAAAGAACAAACACTAGTGGCAGAAAAGCATGGGGCAATTAAACTGATCCACAAACAGAGTAACTAAACATCCCCTAAAATAGAAAATCAAAGTCAAGCTAGCAGAGCCACTCCAACATGCAGCCATCTTAAGCAGCACAAGTCAAGTATAGAAAAGGTGTGGGCATTAAGAGCAGTTAGTCTGTCCAATTGCTTAAATATAAACCATATATGCAAAGCTATATATACAGAGCATAAATGTCTGACACTTGAACACTAGCAAAGCTACTTGAGCTGCCAACTTAAATGCCGCAATCATTGAAATGCCTTAACAAATAGTTCTGCCACCTTGGCAATCTTTGCAGAAGAGTTTTCGAAGCACTATTCTTGGCTGAAGAGTTTAAATTCAACATTGAAAAGCTTTCCACAATCAAAGTGTCACATCACGACAGTTCAAATTTTGTCTTTGACCTGTTGTGTTTTTAAATTTGAGACATGCTGTTATCAGTCTGCATACCCCAGACCTAAAGTCACAGAGAAACAACCAAACAATTATTCCAGGTTTTATGTTAGAATTGGAGACTGACACGGGAGTGGATTTTCACTCCTGTCCTGTCCCACTCCCACAGAAAAAAATGGTGTCCCGTCCCAATCCCGGGCCAGAGTAGAAATCTAAATCCTGTCCCGTCCCACTCCTGGTGAAATTACTCCCACTCCCATCCCGCTCCCATTCAGAATGACTCCCGCTCCTGCACCACTCCCATTCTTGTTGTTTTTGAGCGCGGGTGAAAAACTCAGAGCGGAAGTTACTATTGGTTTGCTCCCGCTCCTGTCTGCTCCCGTTAATGTTTAATCCTGTACCGTCCCAATCCCGTGATCGTTACTAATACTGACTCCCATCCCACGGGAATCCCACGGGAATCCCGTGACCCGTGGGATTCCCGAAAAAATGTCAGTCTCTAGTTAGAATGCAGAATTCATGTCAAATTGTTTGAAGGTTGGTATGATGCAGTAAAATGCTAGTATTATGCAAGATGAAACAGGAGGACAAATGGATGGATGGATGGATGGATGGATGGATGGATGGATGGATGGATGGATGGATGGATGGATGGATGGATGGATGGATGGATGGATGGATGGATGGATGGATGGATGGATGGATGGAACAGCAATCACTATCCTTGAAGTCACAACTTTAAACCAACAGATTGCAGATCCCTGACCTTAATGTTCTTAGACACTATAATTGTAATGTAGCAGATTTGTGCTGTTGCTATTATGCTAAATGCTTAAATAACTTGTGCATAAACCTGTGAAAATGTATTGGAGGTAGTAACAGTAATATCAATAATAATAAGAAGAAACGTGTTTGTTTACATGGTTGTAGCTGATTGTCTCACTTTTCCTGACCTCTCCAAAAGAATTGTCACTCTTTAATCAGCTGTATCTAATGCTGGCTTAGCTCCACAGAGACATGCAGGTAGAAACAGAGAGAACAGCACAGTAACATTATACTCCCTCTGTGGGTATGTGTCAGCTCTGTTTACTGACTCTTTGATTAGCAGTCTGGGGACTACACAAACTCCTGTGGCTGATAAACTGCTGTGTCATTTTCATCCTGTTTCAGAGCCCTAATAGATGCCAAGCAGATACAGAAAGCTGAACTTCGAGATAAACGCAGGAGGAAGCATTAAAGCGTGGAACTATGCTGTGACTGATCATCTCTGGTTAGTTTATTTCTTTTTAACCTAATCCTTCTATGATCAAAACCTTTTTTAAATGGTAAGTAGCTTTTTATAAGGAAGTTAAAGATTATATTTGATGTAGAATCATGCAAAGAAAAAGTTAAAAAGATTCTTAAAAAGTATGTGTTAAACCTGATAGGGATGGGGTCATGTTACCATAACCAAGGTTATATCATAGTATGGCGCCTGTCTTCCCTCAGGAGTGCGACATGTTATCAACTGGGTAGCCTCCTGTTGTTGCTGCACCGGGAAGGATGGGCTGGTTTCAGACTGCCAGTGTAAAGGTGCTCTTCCACCAGTAAACCATTTCAGATTTAAAAGTACCTTTTGAGTTTTACAAATTAGCTGATGGTTTCTCTCTGTGCAGGGCAGAAAGTGTGGACGGTCAACTGTGATGGAAAACCCTCCCCTTCATAATGGAACCTACAGCATCTACTGCTGTTAGACCGCCATGTTTAGACATCTGCTTTCCCTAAACTGTAGGTGGTGCTGGAGGCCTACTTGTTACAATGACGACTTGTCTGAAAACTCCTTTTTCAGGAAGCCAGACAATGTCTGACAGCTGACAAGTGTACAGTAGCATCCTTTAAATCTAAGATAAAAATGTCACTTTATAAGCCCAAAAGTGCTGACCAAAAAAAACTAATAAAAAATTATCTGGATCAATTTATTGTCACATTTTTTAAAGCCTGCATGAGCAGTTTCTTAGTGGAAGAAGCAGGAAAAGAGTAAAGCATCTTCTTAAAACTATGTATTTATTTATTGACGTGGATTTCACTTGTCTGTATATCATAATCAGGATTCGGTTCAGCCCATGGAATTTCGGAGGGCTAAAAGTGGAGTTGATTGATTCCAGACTTCCCAAACTTTGTTTAAAATCAGTGACAGAAAGTTTTAAATCCACAGTAGAATGTTCTTCATCTGCAAAGAAACTATAGTTTGAAAGAGATAAATAAAATCAACAAAAAAGTGCAGCTTTTGCTCTCTTTATACCGGTATTCAGATGAGGACAAGATGGAAGAAGTTTAAGAGATTTTCAGCTGAAAAGCAAAAAATAAATAAAATAGACCTAAGTGGTTTGTAGAAAGGATTAATTTTTTTTAATCCCTGTCAGCATTGTTTTATTTCTTGTATCATTTTAAAGAACACAGTTACAGAGCAATCAGCTCTTAAGCTGTCCTAGTATATAGGCCTACACAGGATTTATATTTTTATTCCCTCCTGAATTACTTTTATTTACTTTTTTGTTTGTTCGCTACTACCGATGTAAAAAATGGGACTAAACAGTAATAAGTTTATGAATACTTTTTCCTATAGGCTATTTTATAAAGAGTAATCGTTACTTTATTGCAAAAAAAAAAAAAAAAAAAAAACACCATCAAGGAAGAGCTTTTCTTTTTTGTTGTGTCTGAAAAAGAGGTTAGAGCTGGATGTCTGGTTTGGTATTGTTTCCCATGAAGCCATACACTTAAATCTAATAAAATTGTGCTTAGGTTGATTTTTAGAGTATATGCTGTATAAAACTTGTAAGCGATTGGAAATTCAACTGGTTTGCCGTCACCAAAAATCTGTTAAATATTTCCAAAATAGTCTGTTGTATGGATTTGTTTTCTTTTTTTATGTACCAAGTCCCAAAGCCTTTCTCTTTTGTTGGTTTTATATTCAATACAGAAACCATCAAATTCATACAGTGATGTGAAGGTTAACAACATAATATCCTTTATTTAGAATAGAAGAATGCACAAAGGTATTTACATTCACATGATACAATTATACAATAACACATCTTCATTCTTTACAAGTTTAAAGTGACCTCTTTTTTTTTTACAGTGAGAGTACAGCTTGGACATTCTGGATTTTACATCTGCTGGTTTAAAAAAAAATGTCAGAAATTTATCCTGAGCTGCTGAAAGTTTAAGAGCATATTTCTGGCCACCCGGTTTTTCAAATTCAACACATTTGTTCTTTTCCTGTGACTCTAGACATAGAAATCATCCTGGACAGAATTTGTTCCTTAGATTTAAGTCCCCATAACATCATGATGGTGAAATGCGCAGACATTACAAATAAGGAAACCCCTACAAATCAGATGTTTCACAAACAAATCCACTCTGCTCTTCATAGAAACTAAACCGCCCCTCTTCCACCACAGCTCTAAGTCTAAAGTGCGTCGGTGTCCGATGCCACAGCATCACCTGCTGTTTGGTATCATAGCACCATGGTGGGGATGTGGTGCACCAGGGGCATCTGATGCTGAATGGTAGCCATCTGGGGTGCAGGAGGAGGGGACACCTGCGGGGGCGCGTCGGAAGCGTGCGCCACAGGTTTGTGCCGTGCGCTTTTCTGGTGCGCCCTCAGGCCCGCCAGCTGGGAATACGCGCTCTGACACACGTGGCACTTGTAGGGTCGCTCCCCGGTGTGCAGGCGGACGTGGTTACGCAGCGTGGACGACTGGCTGAAGCGACGGTTGCAGAAACGACACACGAAGGGCTTGTCGAGCGTGTGGATGCGCATGTGGGAGCGCAGATTGCTTCGGGAGTTGAAGCCTCGGTGGCAGATGACGCAGCGCATCCGGCCAGTGGAAGTGGTGGAGGAGGAAGGAGGAGAACACGAAGAGGGACCCTCACTGGAATGGGCGTCATCTAGGGGGAGAAAAATTAAAGGATGATGGGTTATGAATTTAAATGTGTTTGTGAAAGAGTCCTTACTGCGGGGGGAAACTCACCATTTCTGCTTTTCTTCTGATGTTCTTCGTCCGTTCCAGGAACTCCGGGTATTCCCAGGAATGTGTTGTGCGTGTTTCCGTACCAGACAAGGAGCTCCTGGTCGGGTGGGATGGTCTGAGTGGGGATTAAAAAATAATATCAAGTTTACTTTCTCACAGGTGAAAAGTTAGGCCTATTTAGTTATGACCAAAACTCCATCTGAAATTAAACCACAGAAAGGTCTCAGAGATTCTTTGTATAGCTGCCCCACAGAAAAAAAAAAAAAGAAAGAAATTGAAATGGTCTAAATCTAATTGATTCTGCACAATTTCAAAGGTATATTATTGGCACTGATTGGCCCTAAGTGGAGTGGGGTCTCCCCTCTCTATGGTTTGGAACTGTTGTAAACCATCAAACGTGTTTTGAATTTTCAAATTCATGCCATCTGTTTTAAGGAGTCTTCTGAAATGCAAACAGGTCATGCCTAAAGGGCAGAGGCTCACCTCCACTGCTTTGTAGAAGATGCTGCTGCCGATCTGCACCACCTCCAGGTTCTGCTCCTGCTCGTTTCGAGCGCACTTTATGTATGTCATCCAGCTGCGGTGGTCCTCCTGGCTGGCATCAATGAAGTACCGCACTGTGCCATCCTCATTGAAAACCTGAACGAAAGCAATAAGCAGGATGTTACCAACAGAAGATTTAAAGAAAAAAAAAAAAAAAAATATATATATATATATATATATATATATATATATATATATATATATATATATATATTTATTATTATTATTTTTGCATCTCCATGCTTGTGAAGACTTTGCAAGTGGTGATGCCTGTACTCCATGATACAAATTATGTGCGGTAATATTTCAAAATTAACTACACAATTATGATCAAAATAGAGTTTATTTAACTTGAGATAAAGAGTGCAAAAACAGATATATTATTTTAGTTGTTTTTCAATGGTTTGTGTATTTAAGTTAAATATGTGCTTAATTAGAGCTATTGAGTGCATTGATTAAATTGTGCAAAGAATATTTAACTGAAAGGCCAATTATATTTAGCACGCACACTAGTCCTATTGAAATAAATAGAAATTTGGAATTTGTTTTTCTGTCTTGCAGCGCCCCTGCCTCAAAGTGTGCGCTCACCTCCCACATCAGGTTGTTGTTTTTGAACAGGTCCACGTGTTCAGGAGACAGGAGCCTCCCAGTAAAGGGACCCATCTCTGTTCCTGCTTTGATCCAGGTTTTAGAAAAGATCCCCAGGCCTTCTCCGGGGATGGAGCTCTGGGCAATGATCACCTCACTGGGCAGCACCAGGCTGGAGAGCTTCTGCACCTCTGAAAAATTTAAGCACAAATAAGTGTAAAATATCTATAAAAAACAAAAAAAAAAAAAAGAAAATCCTTTAAAAGCTGCAAAAGAAGTAGATCTTATTTCAGTCACTTATAATTATAACCACACCTTATCTTGCGTTCAATTCGATTATCTGGATGAATTGATTTTTTTTTCTTTTTTTGTGCAAAGCACCCCTCAGTCCTTTTATAGCGATGGAGAAGAGAAAAAAAAAACCCTGATTCTTTAATGTCAAATCCAAAGTTTTTCTTTCTTCCTCTAAGTTTCACATTGAAAAAAGTGAGTAGGGGTTAAACGGTCCTCTATTGCTTAGGGTCCAACAATTCGCCACGCTTTAGATGTGATATTCATTAAAGTTTACTGGAAAAGGAACGACTAATTCCAAATTCATTATCCTTTTAAGGACTTTGTCGCAATAAATTTGCGCTGAATGAGACTGAGGCTTGTTTAAAAGGACTCAGGAATTTCTGCAACAAAAAAATGGAAAGGCGATTAGATGGTTGACATGCAATGAATAGCATTAGATTTAGCCTTCACGGCGCATTATGTGAGGAACAGCAAATCTTTTAAAAGGAAGAGAAAGAAAAAAAGAGCCTCCTGAGTCTCTAATAGCTGCCAAGGGAGGAAAAGAGACTGTCCGGAGATTGATGAATGCATTGATTAAAAAAAAAAAGTCAAAGAAAGGAAACCTTTCTCTCTTCGTGAGGTTTAAGTGGGAAACTTTCCCAGGTCAAGCACAAAGTTAACCAAATGAATTTAATGCTCTGCGCCAGTTACGCGCCTCCAAACGGCGGGGTCTCTGCAAGGGTTAATGCGGTTAATGGATCGAAATAAAAGCGGCAGAAAGAGAGGGAAAAGTGCAAGCGGGGATGAAATGCTGATTAAGGTCAGTGAAAGTTCTTCTAGCATTTTAAACATATGCAGGGATTGTGTAGGAATAAATGCATAAACATACTTGCTGCAGCTGATTTCAAGTCATGTGCACTTTTACGCACACAGTCCCCCCCTTTTTTTTTAAATCATAAATCTTTTGGTTTAAAGGTGTAGTAAAATAAGGCATCGAAAGTTCCCAATGTGACCCCCAGCAGTTCAGCCTCACCTCCAGGAAAGGACTGGGCCAGAACCTCAGCCGTGAAGGCGGTCTTGGGGCTGCTGCTGCTCTGCCGCTCCTCCGCTAGGTGTTCGCCCAGAACATTTCTCCACCTGCCGTACAGGAAGCTGTGCAGGATGTCCGAGGTGATCACATCAGACAGCGAGCGCCCGGAGCACTTAAATCCGGGCTTCATAGCCAGAGCGTCGGCGGGCAGCACAGAGCCCATGGTGCATGAGAGAGAGATGCGGGGAATGAACGGGGCTGGACGCAGCTGTGGGCGCAAAGACTGAGAGTCCGTCCTCCTTAGCTCCACACTGCGCGTAAAGAAACTGTCCCTGCCTGGCTGTGAGGGGTCTCTTTATATAAGTGGCTGGTGCGACCCGGGTCTAATTAGTTATTAATGACACACCCCTCACAGTGTGGACCTGCTCACTGCAGCCAGGCGCACCAACAGGATGCTCCACACTAACGCGTTATTACAGGGAACTGAGGGAAATTACAGATTTTTATTTTCTTGATAAAAAAAAATATTTTATTTTTCATTATGATAAAAACACAATAGCTTTCTAGAAATTGATATATTGCATCAGTTTAAGTGAGAATTTTTTTTCATGGTTAATGCCCTTTTCATATTTAAATGCTTTGCTATAATTAAGATTAAAAAAAGAAAAAACTCTTTTTTTCCTTAGTTTTATAATCTAAACGGAGAAAGTATTAATATGTGCCCCTTTTCCCTAATGTAGACCGGCTTAAATAAACTTTAAATGTAGTGTCTAGTAATATTTGAGCTTATTGTCCTCTTTCATAAATTATTTTTTTCTGTGAATGATTCAATAGAGGCTACAAAACTTTATTCATTGCATTACTTTGTTTTTAGGTGCAAAATAAATGCACAAAAAGTTTAAAAATGCACATTTTTGGTCACAAAGTGGGCTATTTCAAGTTCAAACATGCTAAAGATAAAAAAAAAACATAAGTTATTCAGAGATGTAATGATAAAATATGCTTTTTTCCCCGAAAATGCATATATTTCTTGGATGCCAGCAGAAAACGCGTTGTCATGCAGCAAATAAGCATTTTTATTAATATTTTTTTATTATTATTAGAAGTGGGTCAGCGAGTCTGGGAGATGCTTGTCCATTTTCTTCTCATGCATTTCGTATTCATGCGTCGCTGATATTAATTTTTTGTGAGGAGATGGCGCGGGAATAACAAGAATGGAAACAAGCCTTTATTTCACCCAGCATGCATTGTTCGCATGGAGAGGAAGAAAAAATAGAAAGAAGAGACAGAAGGAGGGAGGGAGGGGGGGTGCTTTGACGTGGCGCACTTTTTCAAGCCCTTGTTGAGGTAAGCGGTTTAATATTCATGGCTGTTCTTTATTGTGGCGACTTCTTAGGTGTATATATTTATACATATATGGGGCCCTTTCTTTTTGCTTGGCCCTCAGTTTTTTTTTTTCTTTTGCTCTCCTGCCTCTTTCTCCAGCTTGATGGACTGGGGGGCTAAATGGGCAGTTTTCCTTCTTTTTTCCAGCAGAGAGGACATCTTTATTCCATCCCCGGCTCACAGGTTTCCCATTCAGCTCCCCTCCAAGTAATGTCAGGGCCCTGAAAAGTGCTGCAAATCAATCTTTCATGGTGTTTTGAGGGCAATTTGACATCCATGCACTCCTCTTTTCACTCCAACAACTACAAGGGGATTGTCCAGGGGGGGAAAAGGAAAAAAACGCGCAAGTTTGAGTTCTGTTTTCTTTCTGTTCTCTGCGTGTCTCAGGAATATGAACTGTGCGTAAAGTAATGGGAAAGAAGATATGGCAAGTAAACACAATGGAGGGGACTTCTTTTTTTTCTTCTTTAAGGGAGCAGCAGAGATAGTGAAAAGGCAAGGTGAGTGACAGGGCAAGAAAACAGATTACTGTGAAACAGCTGCTTTTTATGAGCGGGCCCCTCCTTCGTTTGTCCCCTCTTTTCCCAGATGAAATTTCTCCGCTCTTTCAATGGGATTCTTTCTCATCTAGATTGATTTACATTTATGGCATTCATCGCACAAATCCGAGGTAAATGGATGGAAGGGGGTGGGGGCGGCTTCTTTATTAAAGAGGAATTAAATGAGTTGAATCGGAGTAACGCATGGATTTGATTTGCTTATTTATGCATTAACCTGTGGCATTATGCGGAGCTGGTAAAGCCTCGGGCATGTCAGCAATAGCAAATCATCCCGCTTAGCTGCTCCATTGTAAGACGATTTGAGCTATTATTGTTGTCCATTTAAAGCCTATCAATTTAATGTGGATGATTGACAATTATTGCACAAAGAATGTGGTAATGGGGGATTTCAAAGCGCTGGTGGGAACCTATTAACGTGGAGCGATTGTTTGTGGATAAATAGCAGAATTTTACGCTCAAGGGGGGAGTGACATGGGAGAAAACGCTTTGGGGATTGATTTGATATTTGAACTAAATGTGGTCAGATTTGCAGCTTTATTTTAATAAACAAGTAGGGTGTTTTGTGGAAAAACTCGCAAAAGTTCTAAAAGGAAGGAGATGATGTTGAAACGTGCAGCCCCTCTGCAGGGAAACGCGCACCTACTGTAGGATGCATCGCAGAAGCTCCTGGGATCCTCCACACAGTGTCATTAAAAACAGATTAAGGTAGAAGCCACACTGCGCTGGATACTCAGCCCCGGATTATCTGCTGCAAAGGTGAGAGCGGTGCAGACCCTCCTCTCCCTGAAGATCCCCCCCACTCCACCCCCGGGCTGACGCACAGGAACCTGCTGGAGGTGCGCCTTTATTTACGCACCGGGGTTTTAAATGTTTAAATAAATTTTTACTTTATTATTATAGTCCAACATTAAAAAAAGGTAAATGTATGAATGAAATACGGAGACTTATACTTTTATTTACTCCATTTATTAATACAATTTTAAACTCGACCGTTTTATATATTTTTAAGGAAGGCCAGATCCATAACAGAACATCTTTCGGAAAACTTTTTTTCTGATGTATTTTAATTTTAAAAACTTGCTTAAAGTTAAATTAAAATAGAAATAAAGAAAATCAGATGACGTGAATTTAATTCCAAAGTTTCAAAAACATGTTAATATTTTATGTGCAATACTAAATTTTTTTCCCTTTTCTCGTGTTTTACATTTTAGGCATATTTTATAAGATGGAACTTTCAACTTATTTTACGTCGCATATTTCTTTTTTTTTAAAGAAAAATATAAACTTGCCAAATAACTGCCATCTATAGAGCAGCTTTAGGAAACCCCCACAGAAATCCAATTTACAATATGGACCTTAAAAAACCCCCACTTAAAATAAAAAAGGAGCTGACTTAATTTTTTTTAAAACTCAAAATTGCTGTAGTGGAGATTTACCTACGTATTTTTAAAGGCCAAAAATGTATTTTTATTACTCTAAACATGTAAAGCCACTTTATTTACACTAAACAGAGAAATTCGATTTAAAATAAAGGAAAAAAAAATAAAAATATTTAAACAAAATAAAAGATATTGCAAATATCTAATGAGATATTATGGATTAGCAACCTGTACTGGGTTTACCCTGCCTCTCATCTCAATAACTAGAGATAAGTAAAAGGTAAAACTAAAGAAAGAAAAAAAAAACTCCAGACTAAATGAGCCTGGAAGATATTTCAAAAGTGCTGGCCCTACATAATTTTAAATCCCTGAAATATGCTTACTGGCATCTGGCAATACTGTAATGTGTGCTACCAAATCTCCATTCATGGATTTATACTCTGTTTAATCACCTGAGCAAATTCAACCTCTACTGTCCCTAAACAGCATGCTAGATCCCAAAATAAACCATGAAGTCCAGAGCGTGTCCAAGAATGTCCTGCAGCGCCAATAAGCACGCCTCTCACATCCTCTGCTACATGAAATGACTAAAATATGAAGGCGACCACAAAAGACCAGCAGGAATGACGTGTCCACAGGGACGACACGTCCAAGAGGAAAGTGGAGATCAAAATCAAGAGGTCGGATTTGAAAACAGCTGCACGGCTTCAAAGCAAGGGGCCACTGGGGCAGGAGCCACCCTGCTGGGGGCAAAGATGTGCAGTGACAGTGGAAGAGGAGGAGGGGGGTGTCTGAGTGGACAGAATCCCAAGGGACAGTTGAAAAAAAAATTTAAAAAAGGATGGAGAAAGAGCTGTGAAGGAACTTTAATGCTCAGACAGGTTGAAAGTTAGAAAATTTAGATTTGAACAGATATGAATGTTGACAGAAGGAATGTGGATTCTGTGCTAAATTAAAAAAACATTCTATTTAAAAATTTTTCAATTCCTTCTAAGAATTAAAAAGTCACACTAGATGAATCTTAGATTTTAAACAAGTTGGAATGACAGAATTATGAAAATGAAAACCTGGTTCAACTGCAGCCGAGAAAATGTGTTGCAGCCATCAAACAAATAGCATAAATCGACCACAAGAGAGGCTTGCGGAAAATTTATTTGAATTTGAGAACTGGCAGTAGACTATAGAAAATATATATTTTCTGCTTATAAAACATGAAAACATACATTTGGCCTATATGGACACCCTCTAAGTTTCATCTGTTATTACACACAATAGAGCTCCGTTTCAACACTTTAGTAGCAGAAAACAACAAAAAACATCCAAGTGTTTATAATATTCATCTAACAGAAAAATCAGCGTCAACATTACACATAAAGGTAGTCTGGATGTTCTTTTTTTTAATACATGGTTAACTGTACACACAAGGAGAAAATAAACACCATAATTATTAGACATTTGGAAATTATATATCCCTTTTCATTAAGAAATGACATTAATACCGTAATCATTTTCCAGAAGGATGCATCATTTATATTAGAACACACAAAGAAATAAAAAAAAATAAAATTAGCATTGGACTGAGTCCAACGTCCCACCGGGTCCACAGCCAGGGCACAGTGGGACGTCGGTGAACTGGGAGGTACCAAATAAGACAAAAATCTATTTTTTAAACCTTAATACTTAAAATAAGTAACTTAAAAAAATACTGCATTAATTATTACACAGGTACGAATTGCAGCAGCTTAGCAGTCTTGAATAGTTTGGGTAAAGAGTATACACAAAAATAAATCTACCACGTCTTGTTTTTCTTCAGAACAAGATGCAACATCGAATTTCAAATCACATTCACAATCTTTCAACATTTTCAGTATGAAAACAGAACAGAAAAAAAAGAGGGACAACCTTCCTGCAACATAAATCACAGGAACAATTTTTTTTTAAGTGTAAATATATATATATTTATATGAAACATATATATCTTAAATTAACAGTCAAATATGAGCATATATACATTGTTTTACA